ATTCTCATCAATTTCAATATGCACCAAGGACCACTCAAAAATTTTAAGCTTGCAAAACCATACAAAGAAAATCTTTTTTAGATTTTTTTTTTTCATTCTTTCTTTCTTTTGTTTGGAGTGATTTTTTAAAAAATTTAAAAACTTTTTTCTACTAAAATAAATAAATAAATAAATAAAAATTATATATATAAATCGACTAGAAGTAACATTTCTTATTTTTAATCCATATTTTTTATTAGCAAGACCAAGGCCGGCTCTGACATTTTTTGAGCCCAAAACGAGCTCCCGATAAGGAGCCTTTTATATATTTAAGGGAAAAAAATTTGTAATTAGAAGATTATCTATCATTTTTTTTTTTGGACATAAAATTTACTTAAATATATAACAAAGTTAACAATAAGAAAAATGTCTAAAATAATCTAAACTCAAGGATTAAAAATAAACAAATTGCAACAAAATATCACTTAAACACCACTATTATCGCAAAATTGCTAATCAAACTTATATAATTCAACTTATCAACTAAATATTTTTCAGTGGATAAAATTATTAATCCATTCAATCTTTGTTGTGACGTAGGCAAGATTTATTCAATTTTAAATTTGATTCTTTTTTCTCTAGAAACAATTGTAACTAGCATAATTAATCATATTCTAAATACAATTCATAAATTTGGAAAACAATTATTCATTAATGTCAAATAACTCATCCAATCAATAGGCTTTTCTATTTTTTTGGAGTAAAAAAATCATCTATTAGTTTTAAATAATTTACTAGATTAACAATTTATTAGTTTTGAATCCACATCGAATTTTGTCGAGACCTTTTAAATTTATGTAGATTTTTTTATGAATTAATATAATAACTAAAAAAAAATTGGAACCTTCTATTTTAATTAATTTTGGGTACAAAGCGACGACCTTGCCAACTTTGAGCCAAAGCCGCCCTGAGCAAGACACAAGATAGGAGTCAATAACACCGGTCCAATTGGTTGGAAAAATTCTAAAGTCATCATGAATTGAACTTTTATAGCACACATTATATAAATACCTTTTTTTTTCCTATTTTTATTTTTCTTTATATCTACAAATCATTACTCAAGTTTATAATTAAACCACAGTTTAAAAATAAATGAATAACAAATCTATGCAGTCTTGAAGCCCATGGTGGATACTTTGTACTATCTGTCTAAATCATAAAGAAACCAAAATCACATTTTTTTCAAAAAAAATTCAACGTAATCGAGTTCCATAAAATCCAATATCCCTGTATAATATAAAATAGAATACCCTAAGCAAACACATTGAGCCATAATTGATCAGACACATAAAACCAGATGATTGGACTATTTACCAACCTTGCTTTCAATATATATATATCAACTTTGTTGTTTGTATATCTATGGATCATGTAACATCAAGATTCCTAGAAACAGGATTGTAAATGAGTTTAGTAAGTTTGTAAAGCATGTTTGAAAACTTATAAGTTTTAAAAAATATTTAAATTTAATTTATTTACATTCTGATTCAATCTTAAACAAATTTTTAATAAGTCGAATTCAAATCATTTGGTTCGTTTTATAACCCCAAATGAAAATGGCAGAAGCTGGCCCCAACACACCAACCTACCACCAGTTTAATTATGGAAATAAAATTAATGACTGGTGAAATTAAAGTATGAAAATTAAATCGGATCATATTATATTTATCCGAATCTAGTCAGGCAATAATTGAATCCATCAGATTTAAATTTTAACGGATTATCAGATCAGATATTCATTAACATATTCAAATCAAAAGCCGATCGATTGACCAATCTAGCTTCAGTTATGCATGTATTGAATTGGCCTAATATATTTCATTGTCAATATTCATCCTTTGTGCAAACCTATGTTGATATTTACAGCTCCATCTTGAATAAGTCTAATGGCAACATTAGTGTCTGCACAAACAACAAACAAACACGCACATTATCTACACATATATGATATATCATGAGGTCTCCCTATCGAGTCAACTAGGATTTTAAGGTTGGCAGAGAAAAAATGGAGTCCATGAATTGAAATTTTGAATAGAAGATCATATACTGAAATTTTGATTATATTCCTGGATACAAACTTGAATGTCGATAATCATATACTGACACTTGGTTGATCCAACCTGGCAAACTTTAATGAAGAATGAAGTTAAGAATAGAAGATGGTTAGACCATTTCCACGTGGCCACCGCCAAGAGCTCTGTTTCACTTTTGCTCATACCTGTCCAAGGAATCCCATAAATACAATATGTAAATAACAGTCTAAAGCAAGCTCAGAAGAGCAAAGCTATATTTCTTTAACCAAAAATGCAAAGATGCTAGATCATCTCATCGGTATTTTGACTTCGTATAGTTCTCTTGTTGATCGCACACTAGAATTATGCACTTCTTTCACCGACAACAAAATGCCTTGAGGATGACAGTTCATATGATTTTCACCTTTCGGATTGATTTAAAAATCTGAAATGGCACTACATTGTATAGTTTATTGGCCCTTGAAACACCATAAATGCTGGGTTATGGATTCACTTTAGAGGACCCTTGACCAAGCAGAGAGCACATCAGAAGATTTTGAGAAGAGGATAAGTGAAGTAACTATGTAGCTTCAGAGACTGACACCATCTATGAGAAGGTGAGGTCGCCTTTCTTTCCAGCCACCATACGGGTTCTTATCAACATTGTATATCTTTTCCTTTTTCCCCTTCAAGATATCTGAAAGAAGTTTTTTTTGTAAACGAATCAAACCATTGGGTTGTTCTGAAGTTTCTCTGATATTTGAAAGAAAACTGCAACTTTCGAATTTGTCAAAGTTTAGGTTATAAACAGCTTTGGCAATGGTTGTCTTCCCTATTCCACCCATCCCATAGATCACAAATATGCCAACATCAGTTGAGCCATCTTGTAACCATAAGTTAATGTTCTTGACTCGAGAATCTATACCAATTGGATAGGGGGCAACACTCAAGATTGTGCGATTCAATTTATTCCTGATTTCTTTAACAATTTTCTGGATAAACTTTGACTCAAACCTACATAATGAAAACAGAACAGAAAACAAAGTAAAGTGAGCATGTCTTGAGTTGAAATATAGATGAACTGTTGAATTCACATGAAAATTCTTTAAAGAATCATGGTCTTTAATTTTGCACCATCACGACTAGAATTAACTTCATATCATCAATTTCGCATTGCCTCTAAAATGAACAAGATATTCCATTTAGTCTTCTCATATTTGATGCTTCTCTTTATTTTGTTTCCTCTTCTAAACAGGAAGCTTCCCATAATGAAGCCTCATAAAAGAACACCCTGAAATTTTTTACAGAATCAAAGTTTCTGTCATGATGTAAACAGTGGATCATTGCATATGACTGCAAATCTCCCTTGCACATCTGGTGAAACTATACTTGTATTATGCACATATATTCCCAGCTCAGTCATCTTATGTAAGTCCTATTGATGGTATATCAACAGCAGGACCAAACCAAACCAAGTTCGCATTGTTTTGCAACTGTATATGTTGTTTCCAATAAATAGGTTGGACATCATAGTCTTAATAATATACTTTACAAATTCTCATGAAGATGTGTTAGCTATGGGTTCAGTGGTTAAAACTTCAAACTCAGCCTATTAACCGTGATTCTATGAGTTCAATGGGACTAAACTAGGCATAATTTTTTAATATATATTCACCTGTGTACTTATATTATCTTTTTGAATCACAAGTATGCTTCTATTACATCTTGTTCTTGCTTTCTTTCTGAAAATTTTGGAACACCAAGTTGTTGCCTTCGTTGTTGTCAAAATGGTAATTGTTTATGTTAGGAATATTTGCAAAGTGTGCCATAACCCACACCAAAACAGGTCAGGTGTAAACCACTAAGCTATTTGCATATTTCCCTTCTATAGTTTCAATCTCTTTCACAGGTTTTGTGAGACTTTGTTAAAGACACTCTTGAGTCATTCATTATGATCCCACAGTCTGCTACGTTCTCCAGGTTCCTCGGATGATTCTTGGCGAATAACTTCTCTTCCCATGTCCCGAAGCAATTGATGCATCATCAGTTTGTTGCGATTATCAATGGTTATGAGACATTTGTTAATTAGGTTTTGAATTCCAACGCCCGTATAGAAATCACATCCCTTTAATATAGTAAGCATGTAATTTCTGTCCTTTCCAATGAAGAAGCAAGCAATATCAAGGAATAAATCCTTGTCATGATCATCATCCAAAGAATCATAACTTATCCTAAGTTTTTTAAGAATTTGATTGTCAGGAATTGCTTTCAATTTCTGTAACGCACTTTCCCATACGTTAACATCTTTTCTAGATAGAGAACAACCCAAAACTTGAAGAGCTAAGGGAAGCCCTCCACAATGTTCTATTACACGTTTGGAGTGCTCCACATAAGCTTCAAGAGGATGGTCTTGTTCAAAGGCATGCCAACTAAAGAGCTGAAGTGATTCGTTGTCATTCAATTCCTTAACCTTATGCAATTCACAAACTTCATGGGCCTTTAGCAGTTGCTCGTTTCTAGTTGTAATGATAATTTTACTTCCTGAATAAAACCAATCTCGCATTACAAGTACCGCGTTTAATTGGCGCAACTCATCCACATCATCAAGAATAATAAGAACTCTTTTAGAACATACAGCATCTTTAATCAAGAGAGAGAGAGAGAGAGAGAGAGAGCGTGCCTGGATAGGACCTTTCTTTCCTGATTGTGTCAGGTTATTGTACAAGTCCAACTCAATATTTCCCATGGTATCCAAATTGACCAAGCCCAAATTGTTTATCATTTTTGCATCAACTTTTGTAATGGGTTCTAACCGGAACATCCCCTGAATCTCAACTAGTTCAGTGCAATCACATAAGTCTAAGTTTAGTGATCTCAACCAGTTAGGTAGATTTGTTATTCTTTCCAATGATGCGCAATTTTCTGCATTCAACCTCCTCAGACTTGATGGAAGCTCTGGAAGAGACCGAAGGCTTCTGCACAAATCTAAATGAAGGGACTGAAGAGTAGTGAGAAATTTAACACTCTCTGGTAGGCTATGAAATGTATTTCCACCTAGGTATAGCTTCTGCAATGAGTGCAGGTTACTAAGATCCCTTGGAAGAGCATCATCTGATAGATTACAATCCATGAGACTTAAGATAACCAAAAAGCGTGGTAAAGAAGCCAATGACAATTCTGAAATTCTTGGTTTTGATACACGAGACCAGAAGAACGAAACCCATAAATTAACCCTTCTAGTAGTACATGATAGTTGATTAATTGCAGTTCCATCTGCATTAAGCACCTTCAAAGACTCCATTCTCCATAGCTCCTCTGGCAACTTGTCAAGTTTTGAGCAATCTGAGAGAATAAGTTCTTCGAGAGACTTAAGCATACAAATTCGTACAGGAAGCTCCCTAAGATTTTTGCAGCCTCTCAGATTTAAAAAAACAAGTCCCTCTAGGTCTCCAATGGATTCATGAACCCCAACCAACCTTATGCAACCCTTAAGAATCAACCTCTCAAGACTAGGGAATCCAGAGAAGTCAGGTGTTTTGGTAAGGCAATGGGAATGGCTGAGATCAAGGATTTTCAATAATTCCAGAGACTGTATCAGAAAAATAAATAAAATTAAATAAAAAGAATTTATAAAAAATAACTTTGTATATATGCCAAGTTGAAATCTAAAAAACTAAAGAAAAGAATGGAACAGTTTAGCAAACCTTGGTTCCCTTCCAAACTTGTTCCAAGCTACTATTGCGCATTTCCAAAGCAACAATGCACTCCAGAGGGAAATTGATTGGTATGGATTTTAAAGGGAATCCATGCCAACACAACCATTTTAACTTCTTAGGAAATTCTTTATAGCTTCCAGTGAGTTGTACATAACTGAGCAGGAGCAATCTTAGATTCTGCATCTCTACAAATGCATTAGTTTTCAAGTCAATCTCACTTGTCACAGGAAATAAGCCAGTGTTTGTCGGCAACCAAGAGAGGAAGCCCAAACAGCGTCGTTTTAATGAATTGCCTTGGGCTGACAGCATGGTATTATCTGAATATTCTTGGACATGGTGTCGTTTCCTGTTATTAATGCTAAAGGTTGTCTTGGATGAGTTGTCGTGCTTTAACATATGCATGTTAAGGACAAGGCCTTCAACTGTTCCTGTACCCTGAAAACCAAAAGGATTTGATAAGTGAAGAGAATGATTGCACAAAAAGCACATATGCATAAGAGAAAGATGTTTCTTACAGTTTTTTCATTCAATACATTAAATGAATCCTTATGATCCCACAGTCTGCTACGTTCTCCAGGTTCCTCGGATGATTCTTGGCGAATAACTTCTCTTCCCATGTCCCGAAGCAATTGATGCATCATCAGTTTGTTGCGATTATCAATGGTTATGAGACATTTGTTAATTAGGTTTTGAATTCCAACACCCGTATAGAAATCACATCCCTTTAATATAGTAAGCATGTAATTTCTGTCCTTTCCAATGAAGAAGCAAGCAATATCAAGGAATAAATCCTTGTCATGATCATCTTCCAAAGAATCATAACTTATCCTAAGTTTTTTAAGAATTTGATTGTCAGGAATTGCTTTCAATTTCTGTAACGCACTTTCCCATACGTTAACATATTTTCTAGATAGAGAACAACCCAAAACTTGAAGAGCTAAGGGAAGCCCTCCACAATGTTCTATTACACGTTTGGAGTGCTCCACATAAGCTTCAAGAGGATGGTCTTGTTCAAAGGCATGCCAACTAAAGAGCTGAAGTGATTCGTTGTCATCCAATTCCTTAACCTTATGCAATTCACAAACTTCATGGGCCTTTAGCAGTTGCTCGTTTCTAGTTGTAATGATAATTTTACTTCCTGAATAAAACCAATCTCGCATTACAAGCACCGCATTTAACTGGCGCAACTCATCCACATCATCAAGAATAATAAGAACTCTTTTAGAACATACAGCATCTTTAATCCTAGTGATTCCTTTATCAACATTGTATATCTTTTCCTTTTTCCCCTTCAAGATATCTGAAAGAAGTTTTTTTTGTAAACGAATCAAACCATTGGGTTGTTCTGAAGTTTCTCTGATATTTGAAAGAAAACTGCAACTTTCGAATTTGTCAAAGTTTAGGTTATAAACAGCTTTGGCAATGGTTGTCTTCCCTATTCCACCCATCCCATAGATCACAAATATGCCAACATCAGTTGAGCCATCTTGTAACCAGAAGTTAATGTTCTTGACTCGAGAATCTATACCAATTGGATAGGGGGCAACACTCAAGATTGTGCGATTCAATTTATTCCTGATTTCTTTAACAATTTTCTGGATAAACTTTGACTCAAACCTACATAATGAAAACAGAACAGAAAACAAAGTAAAGTGAGCATGTCTTGAGTTGAAATATAGATGAACTGTTGAATTCACATGAAAATTCTTTAAAGAATCATGGTCTTTAATTTTGCACCATCACGACTAGAATTAACTTCATATCATCAATTTCGCATTGCCTCTAAAATGAACAAGATATTCCATTTAGTCTTCTCATATTTGATGCTTCTCTTTATTTTGTTTCCTCTTCTAAACAGGAAGCTTCCCATAATGAAGCCTCATAAAAGAACACCCTGAAATTTTTTACAGAATCAAAGTTTCTGTCATGATGTAAACAGTGGATCATTGCATACTGCAATTCTCTCTTGCACATCTGGTGAAACTAGACTTGTATTATGCACATATATTCCCAATTCAGTCATCTTATACAAGTCCTATTGATTGTAATATCAACAGCAGGACCAAACCAAACCAAGTTCGCATTGTTTTGCAACTGTATATGTTGTTTCCAATAAATAGGTTGGACATCATAGTCTTAATAATATACTTTACAAATTCTCATGAAGATGTGTTAGCTATTGGTTCAGTGGTTAAAACTTCAATCTCAGCCTATTAACCATGAGGCTACGGGTTCAATGGGACTAACCTAGGCATAATTTTTTAATATATATTCACCTGTGTACTTATATTATCTTTTTGAATCACAAGTATGCTTCTATTACATCTTGTTCTTGCTTTCTTTCTGAAAATTTCGGAACACCAAGTTGTTGCCTTCGTTGTTGTCAAAATGGTAATTGTTTATGTTAGGAATATTTGCGAAGTGTGCCATAACCCACACCAAAACAGGTCAGGTATAAACCACTAAGCTATTTGCATATTTCCCTTCTATAGTTTCAATCTCTTTCACAGGTTTTGTGAGACTTTGTTAAAGACACTCTTGAGTCATTTAGTAATAATTTTCAGTATCATCTTAGAAAACTAACAAAAACATGTAACAAAATCCAATTTTATGAGATCTGGAACACAAAGGCATGCCCAAGAAGGGGTTTTAGAGGAAATTACCCATCATCATGATTTTGTAAGACCATCCCATCCAAATCTGCAATTTCTGTAAGAGCTTGCGTCCACCTCTCCACTTTCAATCCATCTTCTTGCCTTGCAAATGCTTCTGCTAAACTTCCTATCTGATTCCGAACTTTGGAGGGTTCTATGCCATAGAAGATGGGCACGATGACATGCCCAAATTTTTTCCTGCGGTCAAGGATTTTTACAAGTTCATCAAGACACCAACTTGAAGAAACATAGTCTTTCGACAAGACAATTACTGAAATCCTTGATTGCTCGATTGCTTTTTTAAGTTCCAATTCAATATTTTCTCCTTTCTCAATTTCCTCATCATCTCTAAAGGTGTGAATTCCCGCTTGCACCAAAGCTGTATACAGGTGATCAGTAAAGGTCTTGCGGGTGTCTTTGCCTCTGAAACTCAAGAACACCTGATAAGTACAGCGAGACATGGAAGAGGATGCAGCCATCTAATAGAACTCCAAAAGAGGATAAGTGAAGTAACTATGTAGCTTCAGAGACTGACACCATCTACGAGAAGATGAGGTCGTCTTTCTTTCCAGCTGCCCTACGGGTTCACCTCAAGCCTTAAAGACGGAGAAGGGGAGGAGCAGTTATCTATGTAATTATGGTCTTTGTTGGCCATTGTTCTGGTTGAGCACTCTCTTTTCTTTGTCCAATTCCATCTTACCAAACAAGACTGACTTCTTACCAACGTGTGAAGGGTTGAGAGGCTGAACCAGATACGAAGAATGAATCTATATCCATGGACGGAAGTCACAATGGGTATGTACATGTGAAGATGCAAAAATAAAATAAATTAAATATATAGAGAATTGATGTAATCAAAGTAATCAAGCCAAATGACTTTGACTCATGATGGAGACAAGGCAACATAGGTATATACCTGTGCAGATGCCAAAATAATAAATAAATAAATAATTAAATATACAAAGGATTGATGTAATCAAAGTCTACAAGCCAAATGACTTTGAGAAATCATGATGGAGACACACAATTGATTTAATAAAATAAAGGGCTGAGAAAACAAAGTCGTTGGGATCAAAATAAATTAAGCCATTTAACCAAAGTTCATTGAGCCAAACTCTTGGAACTCCTTTTTTATATAGAAAAAACTGTTGGAACTCAAGGGTATGTTATCATCAAGTGCTACCTTATATTCTGTACTGTTTTCATTTCACATTTCCTTCAATAGGTCATTATCAGCTTCATTATGGCATTGCTTTCAAAAACACACCTCCCTTGCAGCTTCAGGCTAGCACCTGGGTGTCGGAAAATATAGAGCTGCGATGAATGTTAAAGAAACTCAACAAAACCCAGAACCTTTTGCTATACATTTTGATCTACCAAAGAAGTATTTTGTTGACATATCTGATAAAAATGCACATTAAAAGATGTTTAGTAATGACCTCACCTTTTAGCCAATTCAGCCTGAATTGGATAGGAATCTCAATCATCGTAAAAGCTACAAATGTTTACAGCATACATACAAATAACATGAAAGTGAGCACCAAAAGGGTGGTTAAAGAAGATAAAATTAGTAACCATAAACTAGAATATATATCAGATTAAAAATACCCTGCAAGTAGACCACCTATCTTACCCTTTGAACTACGAAACTTACCCCCAGCATCCTGAGAATTTGTTTCTTTGCTTATGCACCTTGCAGTCCCATCACTGTATTCAAAGACTCCAGTTTTAACCTATCTTTAGAATTTATTTTCCTTATCTTGTTTTTGATATAGCCAAGAGTAAGGAGATTAAACAATAAAAATGGTTTGAACTGAAAATGTTCTTCATTAATTAACTTAGTTTTGTATTGTATTCTGTCTTTCTTTCAGGAATATATATATATGCATAAATAAGTAAGGTTGCGTTTGGTAGAATTTTCTAAATATGATTTGAGAATAGAGTTGTATTTTGAGTTTGTGAGATTTGGAATTATGATTTAAATGTGAAAAATTTGTTTGGTGAATGAGTTTTGAAAAGAGTTTTGAATTGAGTGGGGAATTTTTGATATGACAAATGATATTTGATACTCCCTCAGTCCCAGAATATTAGCCCCTTATTCTTTTTCATTGTCCCAAAATATTAGTCCATTTTCAAAAATCAAGTACAAAAATAATATAAATCTCTTATTTTGCCATTCTTTTAAATTTATTAATAACATAAAAAGTATAATTATGACATTGATATTTCCCAAAAAATGTACTATCAAAAGGTAAATTTAGAAAATCAATTTTTTAAAAGTGCAATAATTGTACTATCAAAAAAAGTTAAATTCCCCAAAAGGGACCATTATTTTAGGACGGGGGGAGTACAAAAACTTATAACTCATAACAAAAAACACAACTCAAAATTCTATTAAAACTCATAAAAAAAATTTAAAAAATCGGAAAATACTTTTTATTGAATGTTTAAAAATTAACATGTGTCAATTGCAAAAAAAAAAAAAAATTTGCACTGTTCCGGTCAACCAACAGGACGATGGGTTAGCATAAATTTCCCGCATTCGACTGCGTTTTCAAAAGTGAGTGTAGAATTGATTTTTGAAAATCCTAAACAAACACTACGCTCAAATCAACGTTCCAGAGCTCCACCAAACAGAGCCTAAGTTTTTTTCTCCTGTTCTATGTGCAACTTCCTTTTGTTAAGAACAAAGTTTCTCTGAAGCAGCAGAACACATTGCAATAAAATGTTTTCATTATTCCAAAGAAGTATCAAAATGCTTATTTATTGGTCGCAATTTGTAATTTACTGAATTGTTCTCCTCATCAGTCCAGTTATCCAGGCTATAATTCAAGATTCTTTGATGAGTTTTGAACCAGTGATTGCAGAGAGCAGAATAATATAAGTTTAAAGAAGAGAAAGAGTTAGGGAATGAGTTAGATTCCATTCCCTTTTATATTAATAATATTAAATAATTACAAGAGTGCCATAAGACATAATATGTGCCAGCCCATTACACCAATCAAGGGAATAAATAAGAATAAAATACAATCACTTATTTCCTATTCTAACACTCCCCCTCAAGCTGGTGTGAAGATATCTATCATGCCCAGCTTGTTGAGAATGCCATGAAATGGTTTGCTCCCTAACCCCTTGGTGAGAACATCGGCTAGTTGGTCTCCAGTCTTCACAAATGGAATACATATGATGCTACTAGTGAATTTTTCCTTGATGAAGTACCTATCAATCTCCACATGCTTAGTTCTATCATGTTGAACTGGATTATGAGCTATGTTGATTGCAGCCTTGTTGTCACAATATAGTCGCATGGAGTCAGTCTAATGGATTCCCAAGTCTCCCAACAATAGTTTAATCCATAGTAACTCACATACATGCTGAACCATAACTCTGAATTCTGTCTCAGCACTAGATTTAGCAACCACATTTTGTTTCTTATTTCTCCATGTGACTAGGTTGCCACCAACAAATGTGCAATATCCGGAAGTTAATCGTCTATCAGTGACTAATCCAACCCAATTTGCATTAGTAAATGCCTCCACACTGAGATGGTCATGTTTTGAGAAATAGAGACCCTTTTCAGGAGAAGACTTCAGGTATCTCAAGATTCTCATAACTGCCTCTAAGTGGGAAGTTTTAGGAGCATGCATCAACTGGCTCACCATGCTCATGACAATAACAATGTCTGGACGTGAGTGAGATGAGTATATGAGCTTGCCCACTAGTCTCTGGTATCTCTCCCTGTCCACTAGATCTCCCTCTTGATCTTCACTCAGTTTCTGGCCCAATTCTAGAGGTGTATCACATGGTCTACCTCTAAGTATTCCAATTTCCTTTAGCAAGTCAAGTATATACTTCCTTTGGCATATGAAGATACCATCCTTGGACTGAGCTACTTCAATACCCAAAAAATACTTCAAATAGCCTAAGTCTTTGACTTCAAACGAGGAATCTCCTCAACATCATCTCTTGTCAGAACAATATCATCAACATAGACAATAAGAGCTGTGGTCTTATCATGTGAGTGTGAAGATTATTGTATTTTCTATTAGTTATTTAGGGTAGTTTAGTCTATTAGATTATTAGGGTTTATTTCATTTAGGCTATATATATTGTACTCAATGATTATTCAATGATATATGAAATAGATGTTCTTTGTTATCATGGTATCAGAGCAAGTTCTGAGTCAAACCTCTAGAAGCCCTTGAGTCGACGTCTTCTTCCTTGTGATCGTCTGGTGTGATTGAAGGCTTCTAGCGACCAACAGTTCTCTCGCGAATGCCTCTGCCTGGCTTCGAGAGCCGACTGCCCTGTCTCGCGCCTACCTCTTCTGTTCTGCTTGATGAATTTCGTTCGTGGTTCTCTCAGTAATTTCGGCTCCAAGTCGTCGATGTCGTTCGTCATTCTTTCGTCAATCGCGACTGCCTGACTCTGCTTTGATTTCTCTCTGGTCGTTCGTGGTTCTGGTCGCTGGGATTGGGACTCTCTCCTTCGCCCTTCCTCATCGTGATCTCTGGCTCACTGTATCTCTCTGACTGGTACTACTCTCTCTCTCTTCTCTTCGCACTTCGTCATCGTGGTCTCTGGTTCAGTGTGTATCTGTGTCTGGTACTGTTTGTTATTTGCACTGGGTTGTTTGATTATAGCAATATGGCTGATGATAAATTGCAAGCCATCACGACTAAGTTGGATGGCACAAATTATTCTTATTGGTCTCATGTAATGAAAAATTTTATTATGGGTAAAGGTATGTGGAACTATGTTATTGGTGTAACTACTCGACCATTAGAATCCAAAGAAACTGAGGCTAATGTTGCTAAATGGGATAAGGAAAATGCACAAATTCTTGCATGGTTTCATAATTCAGTTCAAACCACCATTGGTATGAATTTCTCCAAGTATTTTACTTCTAAACAAGTTTGGGACTATTTGAAAACTATGTACCTTGAGTCTAACTTTGCCAAACAGTATGAACTTGAGATGTCCATTCGCAGTGCTAGTCAGAAAGATAAGTCCATTCAGGAATTTTATAATGAGATGACTACTTATTGGGATCAGCTTGCTCTAATGGAACCATCAGATTTGCAGTTACTTGACAGTTATACCAAGTATCGGGAGAAGCAACGTCTTGTTCAGTTTCTTATGGCCCTTCGTGATCAGTTTGAGCCACTTCGGGGCGCTATTCTTCATCGGTCCCCCTTGCCTTCTGTTGATGGTGCTGTCCGTGAGCTTATTGCAAAAGAAACTCGCTTTAAGGTGGCTCATGGTACTCCTCATTCCCAATCAGTTTTTGCCACTCCTCCGCTCTTGCCAACCCCACCATCTTCTTTATTTCAAGTTACTGGTAAGCCCAAGCCTCGGGTTTCTATGGATGAGTGCAGCTTTTGTCATCAGAAAGGTCATTGGAAACATGCTTGTCCTAAGCTGGTGCAGCCCAAAGGCCGTTCACTTGGTCCACCATCCTCTAAGCCGACATCTTCGGGATCTCGCTCATCTGCCGCCTTTTCTGCACCAGTTTTTGAGAATGGTCTATCTTCCAATATGCAGTCTATGTTTGAGCAGTTCAAGTCTTTTATGGTGGCCAATCCAACTCTTTCGTCCCAGGCTTCCGCTATGACTACCACTCAATTAGGTTTGTCTGGTTCATCATCCTCAGGTAATATCCACACTTTGTGGATCTTTGATTCTGGTTGTTCACATCATATGACCCCTGTTGCATCTCTCCTTAGTAATTGTGTCTCCCCTCCTTCTCCTATCACTATTGCTACTGCTAATGGTTCATCTATGCCTGTCTCCTCTATTGGTTCTATTTTCTCTTTCCATTTGTCTCTTTCTCCTGTATTTTATGTACCTCACCTCTCACTTAGTCTTATTTCTATTAGTCAATTATCTGATTCCAGTTTTGAAGTTGTTTTCTCTTCTTCTCATTATGTTGTGAAGGATCGGGTATCCAAGAGGCAGATTGGGATCAGGTGTAGAGTTAAAGAACTATATATCTTGGACAGCTTGCATGTTCCTCCAGAAGCGTCTTTTACTACATTGTCTTCTTTTTGTTTAAACAATAAGTCCTTTTTATTTTATATTTGGCATTCTAGGTTAAGTTATCTGTCGAGTGATCGTTTAAGGATGTTAGTTCGGTCGGGACATTTAGGCAATTTTCCCATTAATGATATTTCTGAGAGTCGTGGTTGTAAATTAGCTAAAATGTTTGCTCTTGCTTTTAATAAAAGTAGTTCGATTTCATCTTCTCCTTTTTGATTAGTTCATACTGATGTTTGGATCCTTCATCTATAGTTATCAAGGGTGGTTCGCAATATTATGTGTCTTTTGTGGATGATTACGGTCGATTTACCTGGGTTTATTTGATGACTAGAAAATCTGATTTTTACAAAATATATTCTAATTTTCACTCCATGATTCACACTCAGTTTTCCATCACCATTAAAGTTCTCTTTTCTGATTTGGGGGGTGAATGTTACTTGTCTGAGTTTGAGGAGTGTTTAGCTACTCATGGCACTATTCATCAGTCTTCGTGTTCTAACACTCCTGCACAAAATGGTTGAGCTGAGCGTAAACACCTCCATCTCTTTGATACAGCTCACTCTTTGTTGCTCTCGTCTTTTGTCCCTTTTATTTTTTGAGGAGAATCTGTGTTCACTGCTGCATATCTTCTCAGTCGGATGCCTTCCCCTCTTCTCTTAGGCTTATCTCCATATGAGCGTCTTTTTGGTGTTACTCTCAATTATTCTCTTCTTCGTATTTTCGATTCTGAGCTCGTTCTTTGCTACTCTCATCCTTTGTCCCTTCTGTCTTTTGGGGCGAAGCTGTGCTCACTGCTGCATATCTTCTCAATCGGATGCCTACTCCTCTTCTCTCCGGCTCCTCTCCGTATGAGCGTCTTCTTGGTGTTACTCCCAATTATTCTCTTCTTCGTGTTTTCGGTTCTACATGCTTTGTGCTCCTTCCGAAACGGGCGCGCTCTAAGCTTAGTCCTCGTTGTGTCCTATGTGTCTTTTTAGGGTATGGCATTAATCAGAAAGGTTATCGGTGCTATGATCCTGCCACCAAAAAGCTTTATGTGTCTAGGCATGTCACTTTTTTGGAAAAACTATCCTACTACACTATACCTTCCACCCCTATCCCTATTACCAAGGAGGAATTGGTTCACATTGACCCATTTCCTTCTGATGTTTCTTCTAATGAGTTTGTTTCTGATCTTGAGATCTCTACCTTGCCTCCTCCTAGTACCTCTAATATCTCAGCAGCTCCTCCCTCTCCAGCTCCCACTTCCCCTGCTCCTCTTCTTGTTTATCAGCGTCGCAAAGCACTTCCGAGTTCGCCTGTCTCTCGCTCTACTGTCCCTCCAGCTGTTTCTTTGGATCCCGCTCCTCCTGCCCGTCGTTTTCCCACGCGTGATTGTCGTGCTCCGAACTGGTATGGTTTTGGTAATACATGTTTTTCCCTTTCATATCAGTCTTTTCTTTCTTGTCTTCATACTTATTTTGAGCCTAGGTCCTACAAGGAAGCTTGTCATGATCCCAATTGGATTGCTGCCATGAATGACGAGTTAACTGCTTTAGCTAATACTCAGACTTGGGATTTGGTTCCATTATCTACTGGCAAGAATATTGTAGGCTCTAAATGGGTTTATAAGGTCAAAACCCTTTCTGATGGTTCTTTGGAACGATACAAGGCTCGTTTGGTTGCCCAGGGCTTTTCTCAGGAGTATGGGATTGATTACGATGAGACTTTTGCCCCCGTTGCCAAGATGACTACTGTTCGCACTCTTATCTCTGTTGCTGCTGCCCATCACTGGCCTTTGTTTCAACTTGATGTCAAAAATGCCTTTCTGCATGGGCATCTTGCAGAGGAAGTATATATGCGCCCTCCACCGGGTCTCTCACACCCTCCTGGTATGGTTTGTCGTCTTCGCCGTGCTCTTTATGGTCTTAAGCAGTCTCCTCGTGCATGGTATGAGCGATTTCACTATGTTGCACTTCAGCTTGGGTTTTGCCCTAGTCATCATGATTGTGCTCTATTTGTTCGGCGTACTTCTGTTGGCCTTGTTCTTCTTCTCTTATATGTGGATGATATGATCATCACAGACTCTGATTGTAATACTATTGAGGAGGTTAAGCATCAGTTGTTTCAGGAGTTCGAGATGAAAGATTTGGGGTCTCTTCGATATTTTCTTGGTATTGAGGTTGCTACTTCTCCTACTGGGTATCTTCTTTCTCAGACTAAATATGCCCGTGATATTCTTTCTCGTGCCAATCTCACTGATGATAAGATTGTCGACACTCCTCTTGAGTTGCATGCTAAGTTTTCTGCTTCTGATGGAGTTCCTCTTGAGGATCCCACTTTGTATCGTGAGTTGGTTGGGTGCCTTGTTTATCTCACCGTTACTCGTCCGGATATCTCCTATGCTGTGCACATTCTCAGTCAGTTTGTTTCTGCTCCTCGCTCCACACACTGGGCTGCCTTACTCCGTACTCTGCGCTACCTTCAGGGCACTTTGTTGCAATGTCTGCTGTTATCCGCCTCTTCGGACTTGACTCTCCGTGCCTATGCTGACGCTGATTGGGCCGGTGACATCTCTGATCGCAAATCCACTTCTGGTCTTTGTGTTTTCCCTGGTGATTCTCTCATATCTTGGAAAAGTAAGAAACAGTCTGTTGTCGCTCGTTCCACTGCTGAGGCTGAGTATCGCGCCATGGCTCATGCTACTTCCGAGATAGTCTGGCTTCGCTGGCTTCTCTCTGATATGGGCATCTCTCTTTCTGATCCGACTCCGTTATATTGTGATAATCAGAGTGTTGTTCAGATTGCTCATAATTCAGTCTTCCATGAGCGGACCAAGCATGTTGAAATCAATTGTCACTTTGTCCGACAGCACCTTCAGGCTGGCACTATTTCTCTTCCTTTTGTTCCATCCTCTCTTCAGTTAGCCGATTTTTTTACAAAGGCTGGCACTATTTCTCTTCCTTTTGTTCCGTCCTCTCTTCAGTTAGCCGATTTTTTTACCAAGACTAATACTGTTGCTCGTTTTCGTTTTCTTCTTAGCAAACTTTCGATGCTTTCTGCGCTCGCATCCTCAGTTTGAGAGGGGGTGTGAAGATTATTGTATTTTCTATTAGTTATTTAGGGTAGTTTAGTCTATTAGATTATTAGGGTTTATTTCATTTAGGTTATATATATTGTACTCAATGATTATTCAATGATATATGAAATAGATGTTCTTTGTTATCAGTGAGGAGTGTTTCACAAACAATCTGTGATCAGCTTGACTTTGCTTGAACCCATATTTTAGCATAGCTTGAGCAAACCTTTCAAACCAAGCCCTAGGAGACTGCTTTAACCCATAAAGTGACTTTCGAAGCCTGCATACTTTACTGTTGGACTTAGCATCCGCAAAACCAGGAGAAATATCCATATAGACCTCTTCTGCTAGGTCTCCATGAAGGAAGGCAATCTTCACATCAAACTAATAAAGTGGCCAATCCAAATTTGCAGCAAGAGAGAGTAAGATTCTCACAGAATTCATCTTAGCAACCGGTGCAAATGTCTCACGGTAATCCACCCCATAAGTCTGAGTGAAGCCCTTAACAACCAGTCTTACTTTGTACCGCTCAATGGAACCATCTACTTTGTGTTTTACCGTGTAAACCCACTTACACCCAACTAGATTTTTGTCTCTAGGTAACTTCACTAACTCTCAAGTGTCACTCTTGCTGAAAGCTCTCATTTCTTCTATCATGGCACGTTTCTATTCAAGAATAACGAGAGCATCCTAAAAATTGGTAGGTAGACTCACAGAAGACACTTTAGATAGAAAAACTTTATATGAGGAAGACAGATGAGAATAAGAAATGTAAGAAATAATGTATAGAGAAAGAGAGAGAATAAATTGTATGTATTATTATTGATTGATATATTGATATCTATTACAATGATTCATGATTCCTATATATAGAAGAGGGTGAGTGTGTAGTAGGTAAGGAGTAGGTGAAGTGGAAGTGGTAGTGGTGTAGTGGGTTAGGTTTAGTGGAGTAGGTGAGATGGTAGTGGTGTAGTGGGTTAGGTTTAGTGGAGTAGGTTTAAGTGGGTGAAGTAGGTGATAGGTTTTAACACATTGGTAGATTTTTTTTGTGGCAAAAAAAAAGACGAAGACAAATTCGTGGGGAAAAACTCACCTCTTCGTTTGTATAAGTATTATCTGTTATATAGAAAAAAATCTTCAACATGGGGAGGATCAACCCATTAAGAGTACCATAAAAAAGTACTATTAAGAGAATGTGATGTGAATGTGCTATGAGGTTAACTTTATAATGTTGCTCATATTGGCACAGCTCAATGGACTTTTCTTTTGTTGTATGCTTTCGTTTATAGCATCATTATTATATTTACTCTATATGCTTGTATGAGGCAGAAGGTAATCAAGTGATTACTGGCCGGATATGATCTAAACTTTTAGGGCAGGTTTGGGTCATGACACCAATTCCTTCCACTTCTTCTCCGCCGTACCCACCAAATTCCCACCTATGTTGCTTACCACTGTCGACAATTCCTTGGACTTGTCTACTGCATAGTTCATCATACTCCCTACTCCCATCTCTTTCTCATTTTCTCTCAGCATCACCCTCACATAGTTCACTGAAATCACTGCTCTCTCTCTCTCACTCATTCGATTATGGCCCATTTTAAAAATTTTGAGTTTTTTTTTTTTTTTTGTTTTTTGTGTTTTTTTTTTTTTTTGTGTAATTGTGATCGGGGTTGATCCCCTGATATGAATAAAACAAATGGGTTGTGTAAACTCGGATGGTAGGAAGCACGTGAGAATGTGTGATTTGTTTTGGTGGTTTTTTTTTTTATTTTGGTTGTTTTTAATAAAATATATAAATTATCGGGGGAATGAAAACGAGAAAGAAGATTGGTTTAAAAATAAAAGAAGTATGAGTGTGTGCAAAAAGTGGGGGATGATGGGGTAAAATAAAATAAAAGAAAATGATGATGGGTGTGCAAACTTTCGGTGGCTTTGCAAAAGATGGATTAAAACAAATATAAAAAAAAAAAGAAAAGAAAGTGGAGTGGGAACAGGAGTGCATGGATTATGTGATATAATAATAATAGTAATAAAAAAATAAAAAGTTAGACCATCAATGAGAGAAACAGGGAGAGAAGGAAAGTGCATTGGTGATCACGTGGGTAACCTTTTTTTTTTTATTTTTTTAATTGGTTTCGCAAAACCAGAAAGAGTAGCTGGTATATATATTATATATCTATTATATATTTAGTATATATATCTAATACTATATTATATATCTAGTATATATATATATCTAATTGTATATGTATATATATTATATATCGAATATATCTAATATATCCCATGCGCTGGAGAGTTGGGTATCAGGCTCTGGCAAGGATTCTTTCAGCTTTTCATCAAGAACCACAACCGTAATGTCTGCACCATATTTTTTTTTTAATTTTTTTTTTAAGCCGTTGAGCCAAATCCAGCTTTTGCTTAGGATTGAGAGTGTTGTGTTCTTTGAAGGGAATCGACGCGAGATCGTTGTTGAAGGGAATCGACGTGAATCGAGCTCCGTCGACGGTGGATTGTTGTTGGAGAGATCTGTTTGGTGGTGCTCTGGACCAGCCACAGCACAGAGCATATCGGAGAATGAAGATGGTGAGTGCGAAGGTTGTGAAACTCCTGACGGTGCTGATGATGCAAATATACTTGCAAACACACTGCTGCTACTGCAATTTGCACCATTACCGCTTGAGCTGGAGGAACCGCTGGCTGTTGCGATGGTTAAGTTGGCCGCCACCGGTTGTTGCGGTGGTATTCCGGAGGGGTTTTCCGGCGCTTCTGAGCTTTGAATGGACAGAACAGAGAGGTAAGAGAGAGGTAAGAGAAGTTACAGTCTGGGTATGTGTAGACAAAAATTTTAGCGGACTAGGTTGAGGTCCGGCGGGCGGCTAAGGTGAGGTTGCCGCCCGCCGGGGAAGCGAAAATACTAGGTTCTAAACTTGCTCTGATACCATGTAGAAATTTAATGTATAAAGAAAAATGATTGTATTATTGATTGATTTATTGAATGTTACAATGATTCCTATATATAGAAGAGTAGGTGGTAGTAGGTGGTAGATGGAGTAGGTAAAGTGGAGGTGGTAGGTGGAGTAAGTGAAGTGGAGGTGGTAGTGGTGTAGTGGGTTAGGTTTAGTGGATGAAGTAGGTGATAGGTTTTAACACTTAACTTTGCATGGTAACAATCCAAAAAACTCCATTTGCAAATCAAAAAACTAGAATGGACAGAAAATACTGAATTAGCGACAATCAAAGTGAGAATGAAGAACAAAAGATAGAAACATCAAGTAATAATAATAAAAACTACGTCAAGAAAATGGCCTACATTGCAATTCTCTTGAGAAGTCCTGGTGAAAATTCTGCAAATCCACCAAGAAAATTGGTTCCACAATAATTCAAATGTAATCACAGAGGCAAACACAACAGTAGCATCACTATAAAAATAAGTAGTAATGAAAGAAATAGTAGGATTGCAAAATGACAGTCTTCCTACCTCATAAAATTTTTTATTGTGGGAGTACCCATCTCAAGGTTCAAAAAGTTGAGGACATCTTGCTCCATCTTCACCACCTGCACAATCACCCCTCAAAACATGTACAAGCATTGGTAGATTTTTTGTGGCAAAAAAAAAGACGAAGACAAATTCGTGGGGACAAACTCACCTCTTCGTTTGTATAAGTATTATCTGTTATATAGAAAAAAATCTTCAACATGGGGAGGATCAACCCATTAAGAGTACCATAAAAAAGTACTATTAAGAGGATCAACCCATGTAATGACCAAGAAAAATAAGACCATATAAAATGGGGTTCATGAGCATACAAGGCAACAAACATGCAAGAAACACCAAGAAGCTGAAGCTTGTTCTTGCTTATAGCATGATTAGATAAGAATCTGTCAATGTAGTATACACTGAGATAAAGGGTGTCCGAGACAAGTTTGTATTCCTCTGCAACCTGAACCAACCAATCCAACAGAATATCTTGCATAGTTTGATTAATATCATTTTTGAACCTTGTCCATGTAATTGGGCAAGGGTCTCCTCTTTTCCTCTACCTGAATTATAGACCATAATTGGATTAATACAAATTCCATTGTCCCAAATTAACACTACTCTTACCAAGTAAGAAACAAAGGTTAGCACCAATTTCATATTCCTAAAATCAAACCATCCAGAGAATTGAAACAAAATTGAATAACACGTCGCCTAACACTTGAATGAGAGAATTGTTCCCTATGACACATTTTGGACCATTACAAAAATATGTAAATAGAGGCTATCAAAACCAAAAACCCTAATATTCCATTAGAAGAGATTGTAGGATATAGACAAAAATTAAACATTTGAGGTACAAATTGGTTTAAACCAGGAAGTCCAAAGAAAATTACAACTCTGGGTAAGGAAGAGAAGCTCTTGGAGAAGTTAACAATTTTGTGAGTTAATCTGTCCAAACTTCGGCAAGAAAACTTCAAGAACGGAAACAAACCACAAACAAAATTCTGTGTCACTAAAAATTAATAATACAACTACTTGACCAACTAAGTTCAAATTGTCTAGCCAAAAATAATATATAAACCATTGACCAAATGAAATGAAGGCAACAGTAAGACTGTACACTAAACTAATATAATGGATATGAACTAATGGAAGGGTGACATGAGGCAGCATGTTCAATAGCTTCTCCAAGATAAGGACCTGATCCAGCAAGTATAACAGAAATAGAATTGTCATCAGTTAGAGATTTTGCAGCCTCTACTGCACTCACAGATGGGGCGTTCATAGAACCACCTTCATGTTCGGCTAAAGCCAATGTCAGAAATAAGTAACAAATAAAGTGTATTATAAGTCCAGATATATCACATGCACATCTGTTTCACATTGCTCTGTTACAGCACACCTGCTGCATTATGGAAAAAATATGTACTATTTCCAACATTCCAAAAAGAAATGATACAAAAGATGCCAAAGCCAAAGCTTTTATGTGGTAAAATGATGACTTGTTGTGTAAACAGGTGGATCAACCAAGACCACTACTGCCAGAACCAATTTTTTCTAGTAAGACACATTTGTTATAGCCTAAAGCCAAGATTAAATTACAGAAAAAAATCAAGTACAAGATGATATATCATATCAGAAAATAATAACTTACTTGCTAGCATAGATGGTGTCCCCAATAAGCCCATTAGCCTATTTAATTTCCTCAATACAAACCTCCAGTCAAACCAAATTAAGAAAACAACATTCAAAAGCCAAAATCAAAAATTAAAACATGAAACTGTCAATATTCAACTTAACATTTTCTTTCCTACTTATAATACTAATTATACGTTAAACACTAAAAACTATAACTGTCACAAAAATAATATATGTTATACATCACTACTATCTGTGCCGAGCAGGGGGAGGTGTATGGATGCCACATCCAAGATGTCCAATTTTGCGAGTTCCCTTGCGACGTGGGGGTTCTGCAACCTATGTGACAGCCTCCTCAGTAGCTTGATGTCTGCCCCGCTTCCTCCTATGAGGAACAGGGTCCACAAGTACTGGGACCTCCTCATGTGATGCATGTGTAGTCCCATCTCCGCTCTGAGTACCTCCCTCTTTAGACTGTGTAATGGCAGATACTGGGACCTCCTCGTGTGATGCATGTGTAGTCCGAAGATGTTGCTCATCAGCATGTGATCCCCTCTCTTCACTATGTGTGACTGTCTCGGTAAAGGATGGAACCCTGTCCTTGCGACGTGGGGGTTCTGCAACCTGTGTGACAGCCTCCTCAATAGCTTGACGTTTGCCTGGCTTCCTCCTATGAGGAACAAGGTCCACATGCACAATAGGTAGTACTCGCTCATCAACATGTAATCCCCCTTCCCCACATTGTGTAACTCTCTCAGTAGACAATGGAATCCCATCTCCGCTCTGAGTACCTTCCTTTTCAAACTGTGACTGGGACCTCCTCGTGCGATGCATGTGTAGTCCGAAGATGTTGCTCATTAGCATGTGATCCCCTCTCTTCACTATGTGTTACTGTCTCGGTAAAGGTTGGAACCCTCTCAGGTGATTGTGTCAGTCCGTCTCCAGAATGTAAAGCCCCTGCTGCTGTAGGAGAAACACCATCCGCAAAATGTGTGACCCCTTCTTCATGTTGTTCTGTCATTGCATTCCCAAAATCTTCCATGCGGATAGGGGTTTGACACCAATCATTTAACGTGGGTCTGAGGTCTGGTATAAAGGTGAAGTCCCTCTCAACATGTGGCTCATTATCTACCCCATCAGATGGTTCAGCCTTTGCATGTGCGTCAACGCCAGGCTATGGTGGAGGTACCCCTACAAAGCGATCTTGCTCATGAAGAGCAGCAAGTGCCTACCTGGCCAGTGTGCCAATATGTGATCCCTTTAGAGATGCGTTACAAATTTGTACCAAATGACCACTCTAACAAACATAATGAAAATGTTAAAATTGAAAAACCATATTGAATATGAGCAATAATGTTGACAAATAAAAATATATATATACATATATACGTACCATGAAATCAAATGTACATGTAGCACGACTAATGTATCGACGAGTGATACGTCGATACCATACCATGTACGGATCATCACCATGCATATTACCATCCCATGGTTCGCCTATAACAATGCAGGTTCGGCATTAATCCTATAGTTGAATCCACTCTTTGTGATGGTTCACCCAATATTTAGTTTTGGTTCCATGTAAATCGAGGTTTTGAAGAGTAATGACAATGTCACAATTGTGGGGTATAGTCTGGCGAAATCCAAATTGTTGTTGTACTCTATCAAGAGGGTACATCTTGACAATGAAAAAACAGATCAATGGAACTACTGCTTGCCATATATGTGCACCATCCAAACAATATGGTGGAAGCCCCTCAATCAACTCAGTACTGTAAGGTCGCCACACCACCTACAACATAAGTAATAAGTATAAGTTAAAAAACTGAGCAATATAAGTAACTCAAGTTTACTACAATAAAACATAAACAGAACACTTACCTGTGCACAGGTCTGCCTGTCCAAGGAATAACAATATTGACGAAGGACATGAGTGGAAATCTTTCGAACAGTAAATGCATCCCACCAACTGAAGATTTTAAACAAATGAGTATATTATTAATCAATACTATAACAATGTCTAAATAATCATAGTAAATTAAAATATAATAACATGTAAATGATTAATACCAAATGAGTATATTATTAATCAATACTATAACAATGTCTAAATAATCATAGTAAATTAAAATATAATAACATGTAAATGATTAATACCGTGTGATGAGCGGACCGTCCGCTATTGGTTGTCTAAGAAGATGACGCGGAGCAATGTGGCGAAATCTATACCATTCCTAGATTTGAACAAGAATGAGAAAACCAGAAATGTCATGCACACGTTCGCGAGATGCACAACATAACTCTCGATATAACCAAGCTAGTGCTACACTCCCCCAACTATATCCCCAACAGCATCAAAGTCCTCCAGTAAAGGCAGAAACATCAATTGCACCATACCTACCAGATTTGCCTGCAAAAATGCTACCACCCAAAAGCTGGAGAATGAATGCTCTAGCATAGCGCTGAACTGTGACATCCTCAGCATCAATGGGTAAGTTACCATAAGTTTGGAAAAGCCACGTCATGTTCAACCTCAAGCCTTTGAGCTGGTGGGTAGGTGGAACTGTCCCTAGAAGACGATTGCATACAGCAGGCCAATCATAACCAGTACTCCCTGTAACAGCATTACCATCAACCCGTAGTCCAGATAAGATATTGACATCTTGCAATGTGATGGTTGCCTCCCCAGATGTTAAGTGAAATGTGCATGTTTCCAATCGCCACCTCTCTACTAGTGCAGTAATAAGATGCCAATCTAATTGTATGAACGGCACATGGATGAGTCCAGAAAATCCTGGTTTCTGCAAGTATGGGACTATGTGTGCATCAAGGGGTCCCATACGTGCTATCGTAGCCTCGCGACGTCGACACGTAAGTATAACGAAGTCAACATCATCCTATGTAAAAATCACATAACAATTAATACAATTTGACTTGACATATAATGTAACAATTTAAAGCAAAGGAAGTGTCACATATACGTACCGAGGCAGTCCATGCTAAAGAGGATCGGTGAGATGTTGTAGCGTCAACACAGTAGGATCAGCTGGACTCGGGTCCATTGCTACAATAACCTGCAAATAATATATCGAACATGTAAACATCAATATTGTGTTCAACTTTATCATACAATAAATGTCAACAATATAAATCAATTGTACTGTTGGTTTCACACCGTAAATTCAGATTTTATTTATTTATTTATTATTTTGTATCCTATTATCTATCTATATAATAAAGCAGGATGGTTTTTGAATTTGTCCTACTAGGACATTTGGACGGCTTAGATCTATTCAAATTATAAAACAACGGATGAGATATATTTTTCAAAAAATATCCAAAAATATCCTACATGTACCATTTCTTTTTTCCCGCTTCTCTCTTTTACTTTTTCCTTTTCTCACCCATCCTTCCATGATCTCATGATCCCACCTTCCTCTCTCTTTTCTTTTTATTTTTTTTTTATTTTCTCCCATTTTTATTTTTCTCTCTATTTGTTAATTTTTTTTTATTTTCTCCTTTTTGTTCACTTATTTTTATTCATATTATATGGAAAAGTTTACGATCCTAGAATTAGGAGCCAGATTTTACTTTGTGTAGTAGAGATTAAATTAATGAATTTTATAGTCTACAAATTAAATAAATTTGAACAATTAATTATTATTTTTGAAAATATTGAATACCAGATAAATTTAATAAATTTAGACCTTATATGAGTCTCCAACATATTTTAATAAAGCAGGACGGTTTTTGAATCTTCAACATTTGTTTGTCCAATTAGGACATTTGGATGGCTCAAATCTGTTCAAATTATAAAACAATGGCTGAGATATATTTTCCCAAAAAATATCCTACATATACATTTTATACTTTCCCGCTTCTCTCTCTCTTATTTTTTCCTTTTCTCACCCATCCTTCTATGATCCTATGATCCTATGATCCTACATTTCTTTCTCTCTCTCTCTTTTCTTTTTATTTTTTTTATTTTCTCCCGTTTTTATTTTTCTCTTTATTTGTTTTTTTTTTATTTTCTCCTTTTTATTCAATATATTTTACACATATTTCCATAGAATGTATGTATGCCCGTAATACACTAGGACATTATGGGCATACATACAATTTTTATATAATTATATAAGCAAAAACAATATTATATGTATGCCCGTGGAAATTGTATGTATGTCAAGCGCATCTATCTCTCTAGCTATATATTATATAAGCAAAAGTGAGTTTTCATGAAGAGTTTTGTGAGAACTCCAAAATTTTATAATATATTTGTGATTTTATCAAATTTAAATAGTGTTGTGATTACAATTATGTTCTAATTTTAAAATTATTTACACCGTTCCTTCAGGCACGGGCATACGCTAGTTCTATTCTATTATACAAAGTTCAGTTCAATTCAATGAAATTTGTTTTCATGAATTCTTTTCTACTATGACATAGAATTCTATATTTAATGGATGGCGATATTTTTATTACCTTGGCAGCAAGATTGGAAACATCAGACACAACATTATATCAGAAGGTTAAACTATTGTAACTAATTATAAAGCATGTTTGATGCTAATATAGAAAGAACCTTCCTAGCAATACTTGGCATCATGAAATATCTATGAGTCAGGCAATTATAAAAAAAACATGTATGGAACAGTACAATGGTGTGTGTGCGCGCGCGCGCGCGCAAGGCATCACCAAAATGCCTTCATAATTGGAGTTTTTTTAAGAGTTAATGCAATTTTGTACTGAAATCGCAGCTTCAAGATGCAATTTCAATTTTAAATCGCATTATTAATATGCAATTACAAAAAGTGAAATAATTTGAAAAGATAGTACGTATGCGATTCCATTATAGAAAGCCTAAAATTCCATTTTATGTGAACTAAAAAAAATAAATGTCACACAATCTCAAAAGTCCAAATCATCAAGTGTTTTTTATTTTTATTTTTAATGTGAATATTCCAAAAATTAAACTATTCATGTAAATAACCAACTTTTCCAACTATTTCTCAAACTAACTCACTTTTAAAAATCGAAGGTTCAAAAAACACGATTTTGTGGTGAAATCGTATCTTCAACATGCAATTTCATATTGACATGGCCAACATCTATATATGGGTAAGTCAAGTGAAATATGAAATGGCATCTTCAAAATGTGATTTCACCATGAAATTGCATTTTGAACATGCGATTTCATGCTGGAAAAAAAATATATTATCATTACTAATATTATTAGCTGGTTTGACCCAAATTGTTGCATAACAAACCCATTCGCAAAATGTCAAACTCAAATCCTCCACTTCTATTTCACCCTAGGCCCATTTGGATCCTATAATCACTGCTTACATAGGGTTTTATTGATATATCATCTTTACAGATTTGGTCCATATCCAAGAGGGCTAACCTATTTGTTTGTGTTTATCCTTTTCGTATTTAAATTCCATTTCTCTACTGCAATTTATTCCAAGTAGTAAGCTATTCTATAAGTAGAATCTAAGATAAACAAAATAATAATAATAATAATAATAATAAATAAATAAATAAATATAACAAGACTCTATTCAACCAAAACCGTGAAAGAAAAACAATATAACACTAAATTCCACCAAAATCATAAAAACAATACTTTCAAAACACTTTGATAGATCCAATGCTCATGTTCAACAGTGTAACCTTTGCAATACCATCTTATTTGATTCCAAATCATACTTCTTTTCTGAAAATATCATCCACATATGTTTCTTCTAATTAAGCTTTTTTATGATTAAACCTTTTTTAAACACTTAAAGACTTCAGTCAAACCTATCAAAATGAAAATGCAAAAACCAACACAATTGAACCACAACCAAACTGACCTCAAGAAACAAACAAATCAAATGGTCTGTAAATTCTATACCAACAAAACAAAACATTAGCCACATATTAGTATCTATTCGCCTCACCTAAAAAAGCTATGAATATATGCTGATATTGACGAATATAGAGATAGGAATCATAACTATGTCAGATTCCCAAAACCAGTGGATAAAAACAATGTCACAATGACTAAGAAAATGCACCTTAATATGTATGACAAACCCACATAAGATATATAGTAATACTTTATTTTTAGTGATTTTTAAAAAATCTTTTACTCAAATTTTTATTTTTATCTAAATATGCATCTGGGTTCAATATTATCAATTTCCAATTAAAATAAAATAAAAAATTAAAAAATGTACCCAAATAGGTCACAACACCAAGGTGAAAAGAAGAGGATATATTGGAAGAAGACAACTTGAGAAACCAGTTCTCTCTCTGTCACACACACACACACACACGTTTTCTCTAAATTAACTCTTATTTTAATTGCCATGATCATGTATTCTTCAAAGCACATGTCACCATTATATTTTTATCATTCAAAGTCTCAATATTTTCAAATTGCTGCTGCACCTAGCTAATTTACCAATGTTAAAATCAGAAGAAAAAAAAAACAAGTCAACCCTTAATCTTACCCCTGGTAAAATTGTCAATTCAACTGAAAATTTAAATTTCATTCCATTCAAACCAGTGTGAGTACCTATTTTTCAATGTAGTGAATATGAATACTTATAAATTTATTAATACCTAGAAAAAAATTTGAATATTTTTATTTGGTTTGAATTTTTGCAGATTCACACCAAAAAGAGAAATAGGTTAGCTCCAAAACGTTTGAATGACTTGGTATTTGTCAAGTATAATAGAGTATTGAGATGTCGATACAATTCCCGTGACACTATTGATCCCATCGCTTTGATAGATATTGATAAAAGTAACGAGTGGTTGGTTGGGAGGATGGAGGAGGAACTTGTATTTGAGGATGATACTTTGACATGGGATGGTGTTGCTAGAGCTACTGGAGTTGAGGAAAGTAGCCAAAGAACTAGATCAACAAGGGCAATAGAAAGGGGTCGTTCAACTTTAAAATCAGCAACAAGACCTAGATTATAACTTATTGATGAGGAAGAGTCAATTTCAAATGGGGGAGAGGAAGAAGATACGAACGGATATGAGCCAATGATAATGAAGAAGAAGTTCATTTGCTTGATGTTGAAGATGATTTTTAGAACCTTTGGATTGTTGGATTGTATTTATCTTTGCTTGATATTTTCTGTTGTATTTGGAATGATAAATGCATTATGGTTCTTGAAAATATTTATATTTTTGTCTATACTATTTATTTTTAAAAAATATCATTTGTGGTCGCCTCGATTCGATGAAGCCCTCGCATCGCCTTGTTGCCTCGCGCTGAGGCATTAGAAGACCTTGTCGCCTCGGTTCGATTTTCGCCTTAAAAAACACTAATTCAAACAAAGATTGTTGACTTCTATAGCTCAGTTCCTTATTCATTTATATTTATTTTTGCATTTTTCCAATTGAATACACCAAGAATCAAGATTATTATATATATATATTGTTTTAATTTAACTCTATATATGTTCATTGGTTTAGGTTGTTGAAAGTATATATTTGTGGAGATTCAGCACTGGGTATCTGCTCTACTACAAAAATTATATTTAATAGCATTTTCCAATAAAATGCTATAAGAAAGTTTCAGACCATAAAACATTCTATTTTTCATATCTATTTTGTCAATGTTTATACAATAGCAATTTAAAAAGGTTATAATAAGTCATTAGTCTGAAGAATAATCACAGTTGTTATTACATTAGAGGAACGACGCTATATAAGGCTAAAAAAATTTCCCTCCCAAAATCTGCCTCTATTTTTTTGGGGTCAGTTTCCTGCTTCCCCACGATTTGATAACCTCTCCTCTCCATCCATTATCTTTTTATCTTCTATTTCTTGTGTAGTTTTCAAGATTACTGAGGGCTTGAGAGCAGTTTGTGTGCAGTTTGTGTGGGACAATTCATCTATCAAGGTATTTCTAATCTCTCAATTTCTTTTGCGCTGGACAAATTTGTATAAGCTAAGTTCTAACCTTGTTTTTGTGAATTTCAATCTTACTAGGAAATTCTTGTTGGGAACTTCTATATGGAAATGAAGATTTGTGTTATTTTACAGAAATTCACTCTCTTTTTTTTTATTATTTTTTTTAAACATAGTGCACTGGGTTTTGTTAACCTGAAGATTTTTCGGTCTTTAACTATGCTCAGTCTCACCATCTTGTCTCTCTGTTAGAATCTATGTTGGTCCTTCTTGTATGTGTTTTCATTCTCATTAGAAAGTGTGTCTTTTTATTCAATAAATTGTGTATAAGCACTCTATGTTTTGGATGTTGAGATTTATATGCTGCATTGTTCATATGACGTAATTATTTAATCCTCAATGAAGCTTGTGTGAAATGAATTGAATTTTCATAGTTGTTATTTACTTCTTTATATATTTGGATGAAAATAGCATGTAGACTAATTTTTCTATTATATATAAATAAAAAAAAAATTATTTTTTAAAAAGAGTAACATGATAGCTTTTAGAAAATGCTATCAAAGAAATTTTATAGCACTCAGAAACTATTGTGCTGAACTTTTTTTTTGTAAAGTCCAATATAATAGCATTCCTAGAGCACTATAACATATTATTTTATAGCGTTCTTCCATTGCATTTAATAAATGCTAATAAATTTTTTTTTTAATAACATTGGCTAACACAGCATGCATTCATTGTATTCATTGCATGCTATAAAAAATGATATTTGTTGTAGTGCTCTGTGTTATTTTGGGTATTGCTTTGTTCTTATTGTATAGAAATCCATCTTCATCTCCTGCTTCTCAAAACATGGCTGGTGAGGAAATCTCCAAATCGAATTGTTTTTGTTTCCTACTACACTATTATTCATATATGTGTTGCATATTTTTAATTTTAATTTTTTTTGAAAAACTTTTATGTTTATTTGATGTTAAATGATGTTGCCTATGATTCATGAGTTTAGTAATAAATTTCAGTTTCTCTCTCATATATTATTTGACAAATTATTGGTAGTATTTTGGTGCTCTTCTCTTCAGTTTTCTGTCTCTGTTTATTTACAGTGCTTTGTTTGGATTATGATAATAAAGAGAAAATGAGAAATAGAGAAATTTTTATCACAACTAATTTGGATTAAACTAGTTTACAGAAGTAGTCAAAAAAACTGTGACTAAACCACTAAACTATTGAACTAGTTTACAGAACTAGCTTACTTAACCATCCAAACCATGAGTTTAGTAATAAATTTCAGTTTCTCTCTCATATATTATTTGACAAATTATTGGTAGTATTTTGGTGCTCTTCTCTTCAGTTTTCTGTCTCTGTTTATTTACAGTGCTTTGTTTGGATTATGATAATAAAGAGAAAACGAGAAATAGAGAAGTTTTTATCACAACTAATTTGGATTAAACTAGTTTACAGAAGTAGTCAAAAAAACTGTGACTAAACCACTAAACTATTTAACTAGTTTACAGAACTAGCTTACTTAACCATCCAAACAAGTGAAGGGTTTTCAATTCTCACCATTTCTTTTCTTTTCTCACCAAACCCCTCCACCCAAATAGAGTGTTAAGCTTAGAACTTAGTAAATCTTATATATGTCTTTCATTTCTTTGTAATTCAATGAGTTTGCTTTTAAGAGGGAGACAGAATAACTGCTTATAAAAGAGATTCCATCAACCACTTCAAGAATTCAGCAGCAATAAAACAAAGGTATATGAGTCCCAGCAAGTACTTGCATTTTCAAAATAAAATTAGGGGCTAGGAAAAGAAAAGGGTTCAACAATTATGATAAGATGATGATGAGGATATTGTGCTATAACTTTTCTGAAAAGTGCTCCGTCATTAGTTTCTATGAGTTAAGTGTAGCATCACAAATGTAAAAACTTGAAAAAAAATGAAAATGTAAAACAGAAAATGAAACAAAGTTAAAGTGAAATGTAAAAAAGCAAAAATGTTGGATAAAATTAGGACCGTATATAAGTTATTATTGTTTTAGAAATGCATCATGAATGATAAAGACAAAGATGCAATACGAAAGGAGAGCAATAGTTGGCCAATCAAAAGTAGACCATAAAAGAGAGCAGCTACCTGCGAACTCGACCTTCACCGTCGGATTGAGAGTGAGAACTGAGAAGTTGAAGTCGTTCGCTGCCAGACTGAGCATAAGATGAAGAGAAACCTTCAATCGTCAGAGAGAGAGCTATTGCAGAACGTCAAAGTCGCCGACAGACCAAATGGCAAGGAATCGAGTCGAGATCGAGAGAAGAATAGGATGGTTTCTCCAATTTTGATTTTCAAATGGTTTCTTTGAAATGGGGGTTTTGCTTCTCTGAATAGGGTTTCTCCTATTTGGATTTTCAAGGTTCACTGTCATGTATACTTCATTGAAATTGTATTTTCAACTCACGGCTTCAATGAAATTGCATTTATAACACACAATTGCAATGTGTCACGGTGGCAGTACACGTCATCGTAAAATTATATTTTTGACTGAGTAATGTTAGAGATTCTAAATATTCTATTAAAAATTTTATCAAATGTCTTATATGGGTGTAGGATCTATACAATGTGAGTGCCACATCCATATAAGATATTTGGTAAAATTTTTAGGACCTCTAGTATTTTTGTTTTTAATTTAAAAGTTTATGTTGAAGATACAATTTCAAAAATTAAGTTATTTTTCTAAATAATTTGAGAAGTGATTGGGTGTCGTGTTTGTGGCAACCATATCGGTGTGTTCACAAAATCAAGAAAAATGTGCAAAGGTAAGGAAGGAATTGTTCATGTGTGGGAATGGTGAGGGGGTAATTTTTAATACAAAATACAGAGAGAACCTGTGTGCAACGATGGTGTAAACGTTGGTGCAGCACTTCCTCTGCCCGTAGATCAACATGAACCCATAATGTAAACCCTAATTGTGTTATGATTTAGAGAGAAAGAAATTTTGAATTCAGTTTTTGAATTCAGTTTCGACTTAGTTAGAAGTTTGTTAGTTAGTTGGGTTAGTTAGTGGTTAGGAGAAGTTTGTTTGTTAGTTAGTATTGGATGTATATAGCTAGGATGGAGAGGGGAAACAGTGGAGTTTTTTTGTGGACTGTAATCAGGTTGTATGTGAAGAGAGTGAATAAACTGCAGATTCAGTTTTCTATTTCTCTCTTCTTCTTTTTCAATTACTGCTTTCTTCTTTCATAGCCATATCAATTGGTATTAGAGCCGGCTATTCTTGGCCTGCGAGAGGAATTCCACAAAAATGGCAGATGGAACTAGGGCACAAGAATAAAAAAAATGGATGAAGCAATACGAACGCTTAAAGACAGCAGCGATAGGCAAGCACAGGATATCAGAGAGATCAGAAATTCATTGAAGGATGTGAACGAAATCAAGGAATTGATTTTTGCCATGAATGTCAAGTATGATCAAATGGCAAATGGAGTCTTTGGAAATCATCCAGAAACCATGGAAGCCCAGGTTCGTTCGGATTCACCTCAATCATCTTCTTTTTTCAATACCAGATATGCAAGAATTGATTTTCCAAGATTTTTTGGGGAAGATGCCACTGGTTGGTTGTATAAATGTGAGAGATTCTTCGATTATAACTCAGTTGAAAGTGAAAACAAGATGAAATTAGCTACTCTGCATTTAGAGGACAAGGCCTTACAATGGTATCAATGGTTTGAGAAATGCCATCGCCAAATTAATTGGGATCTGTTCAAACAAGGAATTATTTCCAGATTTGGGCCCAATTCTTATGAAGATGCAATGGGTGATCTGACCAAATTAAAGCAAACAACCACTGTGAAGGAATATCAGGAACAATTTGAAATTCTGGCAAATAAAACCTGCGAGTTACCAGAAGTTTTTTTCATTAGTTGTTTCATCAGTGGGTTAAGAGAAGACATTAAGGCAGGGGTGTTAATGTTCAGGCCTACTACGATAGTGCAGGCCATTGGATTGGCTAAAATGCAGGAGAATAGCATTGAAGCCATAACAAGAAGAGCAAGACAAGGGAATAGAGCAGGAGAATCTATTTTTTTCCATCAAGCCAAACAAAATCCAGTTATGAACCCTGTAAGAAAAGAACTACCAAAGGACTAGGAAGAAAAAAAGGCCAAAGGATTATGTTTCAAATGCAATGAGAAGTATACAAGGGGCCATATCTGTAAAAAGAAGCAGTTATATGCTCTGGAGGTTGAACAAGAAGATCAAGAACAGGTGGAAGACGAAGGTGCAGATGTGGAGGAAGACCAGGTTCCAGAAGAGGAATTACAAATTTCTCTTAATGCCCTGTCTGGCTCTGTTTCCTACAGAACTATGAGGGTAAAAGGAAATGTCAAGAAAAAGCTAGTTATGATTCTAATAGACTCGGGAAGTACTCATAATTTCCTAAGTCCAGAAGTAATCAAGAGAGTTAGGATAATGGCCTCAGAGACAGACCCATTACCAGTTTTAGTAGCTGATGGCACCAAACTAATGAGCACAGCAATATGTAAAGGATTTCGGTGGGAAATGCAAGGCACTGAATTTCAAGCTGACATGAGGATTTTGCAACTCAAGGGCTGTGACATGGTTTTGGGAATTCAGTGGTTAGCAACATTGGGTCCAGTGAAGTGGGATTTCAAGAATCTGAGCATGGAGTTTCAGTTGAATGACAGGAGGCATGTGCTAAGAGGAGGAAAGAAAGAAGAATTGACGGTCATTGGGGCTAATAAGATGAAAAAGATAGTTCAGAACAAGCACAGGGAGTTGTAGCTCAGGTGTACTCTTTTCAGGCTGAATGTGATGAAATAGAGGATACATTACAACCAGACTTGGAACCAGACTTGGAAGCATTACTGGCTGATTATGGAGATATTTTTCAAGAACCTAAGACCCTTCCTCCAACCAGATCTCATGACCATTGCATACCATTGAAAACAGGGGCAGAACCTACCAATATCAGGCCTTACAGGTATCCCTATTTTCAAAAAACTGAGATTGAAAAACAGGTCAGCGAGATGTTAATGTCAGGAATTATTAGAACCAGTGTTAGTCCCTATTCTTCACCTGTGCTGTTAGTTAAGAAGAAGGATGGGAGTTGGAGAATGTGCATTGACTATCGAGCCTTAAATAAAGCTACTGTGAAGGATAAATTTCCTATTCCTGCTATAGATGAACTTCTTGATGAATTGTGTGGTGCTAAGTACTTCTCTAAGCTGGATTTGAGATCTGGTTATCACCAGATAAGGGTAACTCCTACAGACATTTACAAAACTGCATTTAGAACCCATGATGGACATTATAAGTTCATGGTAATGCCATTTGGGTTAACAAATGCCCCATCTACTTTTCAAAGCTTGATGAATGAAGTTTTTAGGCCTCACTTAAGGAAATTCATCTTAGTATTTTTTGATGACATTTTAGTATATAGCAGTACATGGACCAATCATCTGCATCATTTGCAAACTACTTTGCAGTTGCTGCGAGTTCACCAACTATTTGCCAAAAGGTCCAAGTGTGTGTTTGGTAAAGAGGAGGTAGAATACTTGGGGCATTTGGTTTCAGGAAAATGGGTCTCTCCTGAACCAACCAAGATTACAGCTATGACTAGTTGGCCAGCACCTGCTACCTTAAAGGAACTAAGAGGATTTCTTGGCCTCACAGGATACTATAGACGGTTTGTTCAGGGCTATGGAAAAATTTGTTCTCCACTAAATCAATTACTCAAAAAGGATTCCTTCCAATGGAACTCAGAAGCGGCAGTGGCATTTGCACAGCTTAAGGCAGTAATGACCACAATACCAGTTCTAGCTTTGCCTGATTATACTAAAGAATTTGTGGTGGAATCAGATGCATCGGGAAAAGGCTTAGGGGCGGTGCTAATGCAAGAGGGGCATCCGATAGCTTTTTGGAGTAAAGGCTTATCTGCACGAGATCAACTCTTATCTACCTATGAAAAGGAGCTAATGGCAGTGGTCTTGGTTGTACTCAAATGGAGGCATTACCTTTTGGGTAGGAAATTCCTTATCAGAACAGATCATCAAAGCTTAAAGTACTTATTGGAGCAAAGGGTGGGCACCCCTTTTCAACAGAAGTGGATTACTAAATTGTTGGGTTATGATTTTGAGATCATTTACAGATGTGGAAAAGAGAATATGGCAGCAGATGCTTTGTCTAGGAGGGAGGATACTACAACTAACCCTGCTACTTTGTATGCTATTACTTTTGTGTCTACTAATTGGTTAGATGAAATCAAGCAAAGCTGGATATCTGATCCAGTGGTACAACAAGTCATTGCTGATTTGATTCTTGATCATACTTCGCATAGGGGTTATCGTTGGGAGCAAGGGATTCTGACCTATAAAGGCAAATTGGTGGTAGGGAACATGCCTCAGCTCAAGATCCAGATTATGGAGGAATTTCATTGCTCTGCAATAGGTGGGCATTCAGGGATTGATAAAACTACTAAGAGAATTCATGTTTCCTACTGCACTATTATTCATATGTGTTGCATATTTTTAATTTTAATTTTTTTGAAAAAATTTTATGTTTATTTGATGTTAGATGATGTTGCCTATGACTCATGAGTTTAGTAATAAATTTCAGTTTCTCTCTCATATATTATTTGACAAATTATTGGTAGTATTTTGGTGCTCTTCTCTTCAGTTTTCTGTCTCTGTTTATTTACAGTGCTTTGTTTGGATTATGATAATAAAGAGAAAATGAGAAATAGAGAAATTTTTATCACAACTAATTTGGATTAAACTAGTTTACAGAAGTAGTCAAAAAAACTGTGACTAAACCACTAAACTATTGAACTAGTTTACAGAACTAGCTTACTTAACCATCCAAACAAGTGAAGGGTTTTCAATTCTCACCATTTCTTTTCTTTTCTCACCAAACCCCTCCACCCAAATAGAGTGTTAAGCTTAGAACTTAGTAAATCTTATATATGTCTTTCATTTCTTTGTAATTCAATGAGTTTGCTTTTAAGAGGGAGACAGAATAACTGCTTATAAAAGAGATTCCATCAACCACTTCAAGAATTCAGCAGCAATAAAACAAAGGTATATGAGTCCCAGCAAGTACTTGCATTTTCAAAATAAAATTAGGGGCTAGGAAAAGAAAAGGGTTCAACAATTATGATAAGATGATGATGAGGATATTGTGCTATAACTTTTCTGAAAAGTGCTCCGTCATTAGTTTCTATGAGTTAAGTGTAGCATCACAAATGTAAAAACTTGAAAAAAAATGAAAATGTAAAACAGAAAATGAAACAAAGTTAAAGTGAATTGTAAAAAAGCAAAAATGTTGGATAAAATTAAAGAAATTAGGACTGTATATAAGTCATTATTGTTTTAGGAATGCATCACGAATGACAAAGACAAAGATGCAATATGAAAGGAGAGCAATAGTTGGTCAATCAAAAGTAGACCATAAAAGAGAGCAGCTACCTGAGAACTCGACCTTCACTGTTGGATTGAGAGTGAGAACTGAGAAGTTGAAATCATTCGTTGCCAGATTGAGCATAAGATGGAGAAGAGAAACCTTCAATCGTCGGAGAGAGAGCTATTGCAGAACGTCAAAGTCGCCGGCAGACCAAATGGCAAGGAATCGAGTCGAGATCGATAGAGGAATATGAGGGTTTCTCCAATTTTGATTTTGTTATGATTTGAATTCAGCTTTTGAATTCAGTTTCAACTTAGTTAGAAGTTTGTTAGTTAGTTGGGTTAGTTAGTTAGTTGGGTTAGTTAGTGGTTAGGAGAAGTTTGTTAGTTAGTTAGTATTGGATGTATATAGCTATGATTGAGAGGGGAAACAGGGGGTCTTTTTTGGTGGACTGTAATCAGGTTGTATGAGAAGAGAGTGAATAAACTGCAGATTCAGTTTTCTATTTCTCTCTTCTTCTTTTTCAATTACTGCTTTCTTCTTTCATAGCCATATCAGATTTTCAAATGGTTTCTCTGAAATGGGCGTTTTGTTTCTCTGAATAGGGTTTCCTCTATTTGGATTTTCAAAGTTCACAGTCATGTATACTTCGTTGAAATTGCATTTTCAACTCACGGTTTCAATGAAATTGCATTTACAACACACACAATTGCAATGTGCGCAGTTCATGTCATCGTGAAATTACATTATTACCATGTAACTTCAAGCTACAATTACATTTTAAAAATATAATTTTAATTTAAAATATATATTGAAAATATGATTTCAAAAATCAAGTCACTTTTTCAAATAATTTGAAATTTGATTAATTCTCTAAATAGTTTTTTTTCGTTTTTTTTTAAATATTTAAAAAAAAAATCTCCAAGAATGTTGTAATTTACCGTTGTTTTTTTGTTTTTTTTGGTCCTTGTCAATTTCATTGACTTTTGATTGGATATCAACGCCTTATTTATTACTTCAATGGCTTTTTTTCTCTGTTTTTATCATCTTCTCCAAGTCTGCCTAGACTTCTCATTTATTCGTTCATTTCTTCTTCGAGCTTTCTTCAATGGCTTCTTCTACTGCAAGAGACCAAGAGGCCTCCTCCTCTTCCATGCCCCGTTGTGCCTACCACGCCTTCTGGAGTTTCAGTGGCAAAGACCTCCGCAAGACCTTCATCGACCACCTCCACACAGCCCTCTCCCGATCAGGAATTCACACCTTCAGAGACGATGACGAGATCGAGAGAGGCCAAGACATTGACTCCGAACTCAGAAAAGCAATTGAACAATCTAGGGTTTCCATAATTGTGTTCTCCAAAGGCTATGCTTCTTCGAGATGGTGTCTCGATGAGCTAGTGAAGATTGTGGAACGCAACAAGACCTCTGGCCAAGTTGTTTTGCCTGTGTTCTATGATGTGGATCCATCTCAAGTGAGGAATCAGACTGGGGCTTTTGGGGAAGCATTTGATAGGCATGAAGAGGAGTCCGAGACGGCGGAGAGTGATGGAAGGAGAAAGGAAAGGATGGAAGTGGTGAAGAGGTGGAGGGAAGCTCTCACTGAAGTTGCAAATCTTGGAGGGAAGGTTTTGCAGAATGAAGCTGATGGGTAAGTTTCTCAATAATCCTCCTTACCAATTAGGCTGTGTTTGGATCATGATTTGTGTAGGGATTTTGAAAGGGAAAGTGAAAATGTGGGTAAAATTTGAATGGAATATTTTTTCTCCATCTTTTTTCAAATCTCTACTCAAATTCATGATACAACACACAACTGCAGCCTTTCAAAGATCGGGGGTGTTTCTTACAACTTCAAAGAGAGGTGATTATTTTAATTTGCACGAGACTGGTTGGTGTAGTTTTGCTTATAACTTATTATGTTGAAATAGTTTAAATAAATTGAAAAAAATTAATTATCTGGAAGCTGGGAGTGTTTGGTGGGGGTTATGGAAGCAGCGGATACCTTATTTTAATATGGGAGTTTGTGCCAGATTAATAGTTTAAATAAGCTAAAAAAATGCTGATTTTTCAGAAGCTGGGTACGGGTGCTTTTAGCTTATGATTATCAGCTTTTAACTTAAAATAATCTCCACCAAACAAACACCCCCTTTAACTTTTGCTTTTTAATCATCAGTTTTAAGCTTTCAATAATCTACACTAAACAGGGCCATTGACTCTATTTGGATGGATAGTTTTTAAAAGAAGTGGTTTGAGGTTGAATTTTATAAAGATATAGGAGATTATAGGTGGATTGAGGGAAAGGTAGCGTCTGTTTGGATACATTTTAGGTTAAATGAATAGAAAAACAATGGAAGAAGATATATATATTTTGGTGGGATCCTTATAGTTAGATAGAGAGTTCTTGGCATGATTTCAAATAATTAGTTTTAAATAGTTATTTTAAATCCATCATAATAAGGCTATATAACTAATCTTGAAAATCGAAAGTAATTAAAGTATCTAATTTGAAATCTAATTTTGAGTTGTTATCCTTGAATAATTAGGGTCAAATCTCTTGATTTGAAATCTATATAAATGCAAATGTACTCTAAATATTTTATTAGGATCTTTGTACAACTATGGTCCTTAACATGAATGGTATCAAATAATAACTACTTTTACATTATTATTTTAAATTCACCATGATAAAGCTCTCAAATTCAATCTTGAAATTCATATTTGAATTACCAATTCTAAATTTGGAACATTGTTCTTGAATGAATTGTCAAATATTTTTACTTTAAATCCATTAATGCACACACTAAACCCAAGTCATTCAATTATTAGTAATCTTTGGTGCTTATTTTCCAAATTGCGCAAGACTTTTCTATGAGAACCTTTGAAACTTTATGGAGAATCATTGTTCTATAATTTGACAAAAGCATGTCGTTTTGAAAATGTGATTATGAGAAAAGTTTTTGTGCTGATGTTGGGTGAATTATAAAATATCTGATAATGCAAATGGTTAAGGAACCAATTTGTCGAGGAAATTCTACAACTCAACTCCATTCAGTTGAATATTCCGGAAATGTTTCTTCTAAAAATGGATTATAGGAAATGAAAGGAGAAGAAAATAGAAATGATTTACTTTTCCATTAATTGTTGAGTTTAAAAGAAATTTGTATGTACAAATATTATTATTATTTTTTAAATTTCTCATGATACATACTCCTGTACTTTTTACTAAAAATGAATCAAGGGAAAATGTTTCTTTTAAGAAAACAGTTATAATGGGACTCGCATTTTCATTTCCTTTTTCCGTTCCTCTTCCGTTGATGAAATGCTTACTTTTTTCTTCTTTTTTTTTTGAGATTTTGATGAAATGCTTACTTAGTTTCCAACTTTAATTAACATTTTGTAGGCACGAGTCAATGTTCATCCAGGAAATTGTTCAAGAGGTAGGGAAAAAATTGAATCGCGTGGTTTTGATGGTTACCCAATACCCGGTGGGCATAGATTTCCTTTTAAGAAAACAGTTATAATGGGACTCGCATTTTCATTTCCTTTTTCCGTTCCTCTTCCGTTGATGAAATGCTTACTTTTTTCTTCTTTTTTTTTTGAGATTTTGATGAAATGCTTACTTAGTTTCCAACTTTAATTAACATTTTGTAGGCACGAGTCAATGTTCATCCAGGAAATTGTTCAAGAGGTAGGGAAAAAATTGAATCGCATGGTTTTGATGGTTACCCAATACCCGGTAGGCATAGATTTCCGAGTCAAAAAAATTAATTTGTGGTTACAAGATACATCACCTGATGCTGACATAGGGGTCATATGTGGGATGGGGGGAATAGGGAAGACAACCATTGCCAAAACCGTTTATAACTTGAACTTTGAAAGATTCAAATATAGTAGTTTCCTTGCAAATATTAAAGAAGCTTCAAAACAACCAAATGGTTTGGTTCGTTTACAAAGACAACTACTTCGGGATATTTTGAAGGGGAAGAAGCAAAAAATAAGTAGTGTTGACGAAGGAATCATGAAGATTAAAGATGCTATATGCTGTAAAAAGGTTTTTGTTGTTCTAGATGATGTGGATCAATTGGATCAACTAAATTCAGTATTTGGGATGCGAGGGTGGCTTTACCCTGGAAGTAAAATTATCATAACAACTAGAAATGAGAGATTGCTAAAGGCTTATGAAGCGTGTAAGATGTTCAAGGTTAATGAATTGGATAGTAAAGAATCACTTCAGCTCTTTTGCTGGCATGCTTTTGGACAAGACCATCCAATTGAGGGCTACGCGGAGCACTCACGAAGTGTAGTGCAGCACTGTGGAGGGCTTCCTTTGGCTCTTCAAGTATTGGGTTCCTCTTTCCGTGGCAAAAGTGTAGAGGTATGGGAAAGTGCATTGGAGAAATTGGAAGCAATCCCTGATAATCTTATCCTGGAAAAACTGGCTGTAAGCTATGAGTCTCTGCAAGATGATCTGGATAAGAAACTATTCCTCTATATTGCTTGTTTCTTTATTGGGAAGGACAAGGAATGTGTGGTTAAAATACTAGATGAATGCTATCTCTACCCAACAGTTGGAATTCATAATCTCATGGATAGATGTCTCATTACAGTTTCTCAGATTGTTGAAATTTCTGAACCTTGGTTACTCCCATAGCCTTACCAGAACTCCCGACTTCTCAGGACTCCCTAGTCTCGAGAGACTAGTGCTTAAGTACTGTGTAAGTTTGGTTATTAAAATACTAGATGAATGCTATCTCTACCCAACAGTTGGAATTCATAATCTCATGGATAGATGTCTCATTACAATTGAAAATGGCAATAAGTTAATGATGCATCAATTACTCCAAGAGATGGCAAGAGAAATTATTCACAAAGAATCGCCTGAAATGCCGGGGAAACGGAGCATACTGTGCCATCAAAAGGATTCCTTTTATGTCTTGAGTACAAAAACTGTAAGCAACATGCCCTAATATATTTTTATTATTTTTTTAAGGATTGTTATCTGCATGGGTAGGTTTGTGGTATGTGCCCGTAACTTAACCATTATTTTTTTGATATCAGGGTACAGAAAGTGTTCAAGGCCTCATCCTCAACATGCATATGTTAAGGGAAGAAAAGTCTTCCACGACAAATTTTAATGTTAACAAAGCAAAACGACACCACATGAAAGATGCCATTGACAGATCCAATATGGCATACCAAGGCAATTCACCAAAACGGCGTCGTATCGGCTTCCTCTCCTGGCAACCAATAGCCAGTGCGTTAACAAAATTATTTCCTGTACCAGATGAAGTAAACTTGACAACCGATGCATTTGCAACAATGCAAAAACTAAGACTACTCCAGCTTAATTATATGCAACTCAATGGATGCTATAAAGAGTTCCCTAAGGAGTTGAGATGGTTGTGTTGGCATGGATTTCCTTTGAAATCTATACCTAGCAATTTTAATATGGAGAGCCTGGTTGCTCTTGACATGCAAAATAGCAGCTTGACAAGAGTTTGGAAGGGAACCAAGGTATGATCATAGTTTGTAGTGAATCTTGTAGTTTGATTTGTATTTGCAAGAACTAATTTTCCTTTCTTTCCTACTTATCTTCTTTTTTTCGGCTTACAGTTTCTCAGATTGTTGAAATTTCTGAACCTTGGTTACTCCCATAGCCTTACCAGAACTCCCGACTTCTCAGGACTCCCTAGTCTTGAGAGACTAGTGCTTAAGTACTGTGTAAGTTTGGTTAAGGTTCATGAATCCATTGGAGGCCTAGAGAAACTTGTTTGTTTGAATCTACGAGGCTGCAAAAGTCTTGGGAAGCTTCCAAGAGAAATTGGTGGGCTAAAATCCCTTGAGAAACTCATTCTCTCTGATTGCTCAAATCTTGAAAGTTTGCCGGTGGAGCTCGAGAAATTAGAATCTCTGACTGCACTACATGCTCATAAAACAGCTATAATTCAATCATGCCTTACCAGTCGAAAGAGGGATTCCTGGCCCTTCCTTTTTTGGTCAACAGCATCAAAGCCAAGCAAGAATGTGAATTTACCATTGCTTTCTTTACCTTGCACTTTAGTAAAATTAAGAATTAGTGAGTGCAATCTGTCAGACGAATCTATACCAAGGGACTTTAGTGGCCTATCTTCGTTGTTGGAATTGGATCTAAGCCTAAATCCGATTTCGAGCTTGCCTGAGAGTATCAGGAACCTTACTATGCTCAAGTCCCTTTATTTAGATACATGCAGGAGTCTCCAGTCACTTCCAGAGCTTCCATCGAGTTTGAAGGAAATTATTTTAATAGATTGCAAGTCACTGGAAAGAATGACAATGCTTCCAAGACTGTTGAAATCTCTGGACTTTATGCTTATAAATGGTTGCAATAAACTAATTAAGGTTGATGGCTTGTTCAAGTTAGAACCCTTAGGAAACTTAGATGCAAAAATCATCAAGAAGTTGGGTTTGGTTGACTTGGAATCCTTGGGAAACATTGAGGTGGAACTATGCAATAACTTGACATTCACTCGAGAGAAAGGTCCCCTCCAGGTGCTCTACCTCTCTCCCTATATTTATATATATAACATCATAAATTCTAGTTAACATTATGATTTCCATGGCACAGGGTCTCTTTGAATTTGGTATATTCAGCACTTTCTTTCCTGGGAGCGGGGTTCCGGATTGGTTCGGCAATAGGAGTATTGGGCCCTTGATATCTTTCACTGTGCCTTTGCTTTTTAATCTTGAGATCCAAGGATTGAGGGTTTGTGTTACTTACGTACGTTCTGACCGTCATGAAGCTGGGGAGTTTTATGATTTTTATATCAAAATCAGTAATAAGACCAAGGGCCTGGATTGGACTTATGGCCCAATGTTCTATGGCAATGAACAAGAAGATATGATATGGTTAAGCCACTGGAATGTTGCGAATCAGTTTGAAGGTGGTGATGAAGTGAATGTTTCAATGGTTGTGGGGCTTGGTTTTCAGGTGAAGGAGTGTGGAATTGACCTTGTGTATGATCAAGAAGAGAAATGTACCCAATCGAACAGTGGCAAAGAATTAATCCAACGTACCGCATATCCTTATTATCAGAATGTCATAGGCGGAGATTTGTCACCATATCAGAGGGGCAAAGGTGTGTATGTCCTCAGCCATTATGATCTATATCCAGACATATATCCCCCTCCTCAAAATCCTTCAAGTGATCGCTGGGATGATCCAAGCGTTTACGATCCTTCAATTTGGTGCCCGATTCTAGATAGAGGTATGTAGTCTGTGACTCTATACAGCTCACCATTTGATTCAAGGATTAAGAATACTCCACCTCAGGAATAATCTGAAATTAAGCTTTCCCTAAAGTGGTGAAAGATATCATATAGTTTCAATTTGACTATACTCATCAATTTGGTGTTGCAATAACTTTTTTAGCAAATATATATTTGGCAAACTGAGTTGAGCATCTTCTAGTTTCTGGTTTTGACAGCAAGGGACATTTCTTTTGAAGTGGACTCGAAGATTTAAAGAATAGCCATTCACATATATTTATGTAAAGCTTTGACACTTTGGTGATGTATATTTTTGTAGATGAAGAAGAAGACGACAACGAAGGAAATGATGATGATGAAGAGGAATTCTAAAATATCATATTTGATATTGAAATATGCAGATAGGAGTTACTCCTTCCTCATTGACATGGAATTGGTTCTACTTTTGTTTGCTATCCCAGGATTCAGGTTGGGGGCCTTATTTCTGAAATTAGATTTGAGGTTTTCCTTTATGTAGCTAATCACGGTGTGTGAGTGTATATAGCAGAAGTAAATGTTTTTATTGGTATTGAGGCAACTGCTTATGATGCCACACTTTTTCGTTAATATTCTCATATAAGGAAAATTTCAGTGATGGTCCAATGGTTGGTCATCAGCCTTGAGGAACGTTTTAAAAAATTTATGAGAAGTGTCTAGAAATATGTAAATGTGTTCGAGTATATGTAAATATATTGTGATTGAAACCAAGTTGACTTTTTGTTCACCTTGATGATAGCCCAGTAAGACTGGTGGAAAGATGAAAAATTGCTACTGTATAAACCCAGGAGAGGATTATGAAGGGGGCTAGGGGGTCACTCTCTCTCTCTCTCTCTCTCTCTGTAAGAGGTTAATAGAGTGATTGTCGTGGCACACACTACGAGAAAAAACACATTTGGCGACTAAAAATTGAATCGCCAAAAGTCGGTTTTTTATTTTCCCCGACCAAATTTTTTAGTCACCGGTTTGGTCGCCGAGAGATGGTCGGGAAAGGTATTGGCGACTAAAAAACTTTTTGTCGCCAAAAAACAAGTCTTTAGCGATCAAAACTTTGGTTGCCAATTATATTTTTTAAATTATACATTTACCGACCAATATTTTAGTCGCCAATACTCAAGGAATAAAAATTTTTGCTTTTTTGGAGATTTGAACCATCAACCTCCCACACCACAAACCTTATACAACACACTTTTCCCCCTATGCCTCTATAACGCCATATGATTATATATGCAACATATATTATTTATATAGTACATAGACTCGTATTAATATAAAAGTATATATATAAACATAATTATTTTTTATTGAACATAATTTATGTAAAAATAAATTATTTAGTAGGAAAAAAAAAAAAGGACCACTTTTCTATACTTTTGGCTACTAATTATTTTTTAGTCGTTAAAAAATAAAATTCCCATGCTAAAATTATAACTTTTGGCAACTAAACTTCTTTTTAGTCGCCAAAATCCTCACTTTTGGCTACTAAACATGTTTTTAGTCGCCGAATGCCTCACTTTTGGCTACTAAATTTTTTTTAGTCGGTAAAAGCCTTACTTTTGGTGACCAAACATCTTTTTAGTCGCCGAATGCCTCACTTTTGGCTACTAAATTTTTTTTAGTCGCCAAAGGACCTTACTTTTGGCTACTAAAAGGTTTTTAGTTGGTAAAAGCCTCGCTTTTGGCGACCAAACAGATTTTTAGTCGCCGAATGCCTCACTTTTGGCTACTAAATATTTTTTAGTCGCCAAAAGGCCTTACTTTTGGCTACTAAATTTTTTTAGTCGCTAAAAGTCATATATCAGCGACCAAACAGATTTTTAGTCACCAAAACCTATCCTTTTTTTAGTCGCCAAAAATATTTACTTTTGGCTACTAAATGCATTTTTAGTCGCCAAATGCAATACTTTCAGCGACGAAATGTGATTTTTTAGTCGCCAATAGTGCTTTTTCTTGTAGTGGGTTAATCAAATAATTTACTTTTTTTTTTCTTTTTTTAAATTTTCTTGCTGATGAAGTCTCCTTGTTTATATGTAACTAACCCTAGTTACTAGCATCATAGACCTTAGAAAAAGGGGATAAAAACCCTAGCCCTGATAAGTTTTTTTTGAAGAAAAGAATGGTAATCCTAGAAAGAGGCAGTAAGGAAAAGAACATCAAAGCAAAACTAGAGCCCAATCTACCAAACCTTCCTGAAGAAATCATTCTCAACATACTATCAAGATTACCCCTCAAATCTCTCATTCAATTCACTTGTGTTTCAAAGCAATGGTGTTCTTTGATTCACGGTTTTGTGAAAAGCGTTCGACGAAAAAAGGTTTTTGTTTGTATCGACAATTCAATTAACTCCATCGACGAAGAAGGTCACGTGGAAAGCATTCTTGAACCAAAAGAAAAACTCCCACGTCATTTTTACCTTGAAATCTTTGGTTCATGTAATGGGTTGTTGCTTATATTGATTTTCGATGATTTGTTTTTATGGAATCCGCTCGCTAAGTGTTCGAGGAAAGTCATGACATCCGTGCATCGCGACTACTATGCTGTTTCCGGGCTTTGCTTTGACTCCTCGAATAACGAGTACAAAGTTGTAATGGCGATTATTCATGATAGCACAAATTATGGTGGTAAATTCGTGAAGATTGGTAGTTTTCGAAACAAAACTTGGACATCAGTCTATGAATTCCCTTACCATGTTTGTAGTATGATTTCGAGGCCTGTAGTGAATGGATATCTACACTGGTTTGTGTTTAAGGAAAGTTCGGATAACTTTCCATCCCACCAAATTATTTACTTTGATCCGCGGATAGATGAATTCAAGGAGGTACCAATGCCACAAGCTAAGCATGTTGATGGATATACTATACTTGGTTTGGGAGATCTGAATGGATGCCTTTGTATGTCTCGCTTCAATCATTCTTCATGCAATTTTGTTGGCAATAAAGTTGAGGTATTGGTTATGAGGGAATATGGTATGGAAAGTTCTTGGATTGTTCTATTTAGCATAGAGTATTTGTGTGGAAAAAATTATGATTATTTTATGCCATTGTGTTCAACAAAAAAAAAAAAAGTTTGGCTGCTTTGGACATTATTTTTGTGTATCTTCGGCTGATTTGATTTGAAGGTGGTTTGGTCTATTATTTTGGTTCTACAAATTTGTTTCGAAGATTTTTGTTCATCTTTTCAGGGAGGTCTTTCCTTTTATTTATTTGTGATTATTTGAAATTCATCTAAGAGTGATTTTGTGAGACCATTCATGTCTCGTTTGTAATCGTTTGAAAACTTTTTGGTTGATAGTGGAATTGGATTTCGATCCCGTGGACGTACCTCACATTAAGGGAACCACGTAAAATTCTTGTGTTGCTCTTGATTTAATTTTTCTGCATTAGTTTTTATTCCCATTAATTGATTTACTTGTGGGGAATCATCGATTTTCCTTAACAACTGGTATCAGAGCTTACGATTTATTTGGATTTATTTATTTGTGTAAATCAATAGAAGGGAATGTGGGTCGTATGTCTAACTTCAATGGAAGCAATTAGGTAACTTGAAAAACTAAAATGGAGGACCTATTATTTTGTAAAGATTTGTATGGGCCAATTGAGGGTGATAGTGGCAAACCTGAGGGTATGCAAGATGATGAATGGAAGAGGCTTAATTGAAAAGCCATTGGTGTTATCCGTCAATGGATTGATGACAGTGTGTTTTATCATGTTGCTACTGAAACTTCAGCACATGATTTATGGAAAAAAATTAGGTCTTATAGGAAATCAGCCACAAATAAAGATTTTCTGTTTCGTAAGTTGAACATCTAAATGAAATAAAGAGTATTGTTAACCAACTTGGTTCTATGAAAATTGTTTTTGATGATGAGTTGCAGGCTTTGATACTACTTACTTCTTTGCCTGAAAATTGGGAGACTTTGGTTGTGACAATTAGTAATTCGGCGGCGCCCGATGAAGTTGTCACAATGAGCTAAGTCACTAATAGCTTGTTGAATGAAGAAATTAGAAGAAAATCAGCGGATTCCTCTCATCGGAAGCATTTGTTGTGAGAGGCTGAAGCAAAACAAGGAGGAGTAAGACTCCTCATGGTCGTGATCAAAGCCGTAACAAATCAAGAGATGGTTCTTTTCAAAGAAAGACATTGAGTGCTATTATTGCCATGAGAAAGGGCACATGAAGCGAGAATGCTGAAAACTCAAGCACAAGGAAAAAAGACATGACAAAAGTGTGGATAAGAAGCAAGGAGACACAACAGCTATTACTACCAATGGTGATCTCATGGTCGTTTGTGAAGATGATTGTATCAATTTTGTGGACCAAGAAAGCAATTGGGTGATTGATTATGGTGCTTCTTTTCATGTAACTTCTTGAGTAGATTTCTTCACTACCTACACCAAAGGAAATTATGGTTATGTTCGAATGTGTAATGAAAGATTGTCCAAGATTATTGGCATGGGTGATGTTTGCTTGGAAACAAATTTGGGCTGCAAGTTGCTACTTAAAGATGTGAGGCATGTTCCGGACATTCGCCTCAATTTGATCTCTACCGGGAAACTAGATGATGAAGGTTTCAACAACAAATTTGGTGATGGAATATAGAAGCTCACAAAAGGTTCTTTGGTGGTGGCTAAGTACAAAAAGACTCATACACTTTATTCGATGCAAGGAAAAATTTGTAAAGGTGTTATCAATGCACTTGAAGATGATACTTTTACTGAATTGTGGCACAAGCGGCTTGGTCATATGAGTGAAAAGGGGCAACAAGTTTTGTTCAAAAAAGAGCTTCTACCCGGTTTGAAAGGTACACATCTCAAAATTGTGTTCATTGTTTGGCGGGTAAACAACATAGAATTTCTTTTCATAAAAATATTGCTTTTAGAAAAGAAAATGTTTTGGAGTTGATTCATTCGGATGTTTGTGGTCCTTTAAAAGTTAGAACACATAGTGCTGCACTTTATTTTGTTACTTTTATTGATTATTATTCAAGGAAAATTTGGGCCTTTATACTAAAACTAAAGATCAAGTTCTAGAAGTATTTAAGCATTTTCAGGCCATGATTGAAAGAGAAACAGGGCAGAAATTGAAGTGCATCCGATCAGACAATGATGGTGAATACATTGGGCCATTTGATAAGTATCGTCGCAGCCAAGGTATTCGGCACCAAAAGATAGTTAAGAAGACTCCCTAACAAAATGGCGTTGCCGAGAGGATGAACCGCACCATTGTGGAAAGAACAAGGTGTTTGCTTTCACAAGCTAAATTGCCAAGATTCTTTTAGGGTGAGACAATGAAGACAGCGGTTGATGTGATCAATTTGTCTCCTTCCTATCCTTTGAATGCTGATGTTCTAGAAAGAGTTTGGACCGGTAAAGATGTGTCTTATGAGCACTTGAGAGTGTTTGATTGCCAAGCTTTTGTTCACATTCCAAAGGATGAGAGGTCCAAGCTTGATAGTAAGTCAAGACAATGTATTTTTCTTGGCAATGGGCATGATGAATTCGGGTATAGATTGTGGGATCCGGTCGATAAGAAAGTCATTCGAAGCCATGATGTTGTGTTTCTTGAACACCAAACAATTGAAGGCTTCGGCAAAGGTGATCAACCGGAGCCAAAAACTAGTAATCTCATTGACATGGATCCATCTCCTTCATCTTTAGTTGATGATGAAAATGGAGGAAATGTGCAGCCACCTATCGAAGATGTGGAGAATGATTCTTATCCTAATGAAGTTGAGCCCAAAATTGAGGAAGAGCATCCAACTCAAGAACCACCACCACAACTTGAGTTGAGAAAATCTACAAGGGACCGACAACCTTCAAGAAAGTATCCTCTCAATGAATTTGTGTTGATTTCAGATTAAGGGGAGCCCGAGAGCTACCAAGAAGCAATTGGGCATGCAAAAAAAGATGATTGGAAAAAGGCCATAGAAGAGGAGATGAATTCTTTACTTGAAAATCACACCTATGATTTAGTGAAGTTACCTAAGGGGAGGAAAATTATGAAAAATAAGTGGGTCTTCAAATTGAAGAATGATGGCAAGAATCTGAGGT